CGTGGTAAGACTCCTGGGCCAGATTCATGAAGCAGTTACGCAAGCACTTACGAACCTGTACATCTTTTCTCAATGGAAAGGGACCGAAACGTCGTCGTCCCTTCACCTTCTAGTGTGTGGTCTGGTCAACATACTTTAGCCACGTTATTGTGACTCATCGCCTGCATCTTTTCTCAATCATTGGCGGCTTTGTTTACAATTATTAAACAATTAAAGAGCTGCGAAGCACCATGAGGCTGTTTATAACAATAACAACAGTTGATTGGCAAGTTTTCATGCTTGTAAACTGTTTAATAAATGTAACCAAAGCCGTCAAAGATTGAGAAAATATGTACACGTTCGTAAGAACTTGCGTAACTGCTTCGTAAATCTGGACCCAGCTTAGTAACGTGAGCTGGGAGTGACAAGTCAATGGCCAAGTCTGCGGTCAAAAATACACTGAACTACGCTAAATAAATGTCATTGTTGGGATAACGAGACTCGTGTTACGTGGAAAAGGTAGATATTCATCTGTACATTTAGCTTAATCTAAATATTCATTTAGATTAAGCTAACTGCCTTTGGCCTTGCTAACAACTGCTATCCAGATTATATATCTATATATATCTATATATCTATATATATCAATACCGTAAATGACAATAAAATCCAGAAACCTAGACATCAATATGTCAATGAGATTACCATTCTCACTAAGCTCCTATCGCGCAAGTGTTTACGTTAACTCATTTAAATATATTGTCATTGAGCAAAGTGCATTTTCTTGACAGCTGATAATCATAATACTAATAATTACTAGCAGGGGCCTCTTTAATTGTCAGCTGTGAAGGATATAACTGGCTGTGTAAAGATGAATAAGAAAATACGTCAGTGATTGAGTTAATGTCCCTTTAATAAGAGAGTAAATTCCATTAAGTGATGAAGGTGGTTGATCGTTCCACCAAGTTGAACGTACTGTAGCGAGGGATCCATCACGTACCGTGGGGGGGAGGGGGGGGAGTCAATCCTGTTTCATCACCCTATCCCCCCTCCTACCTCGCTCCATTCAACTATTCATCTGCCCACACCATCAGTATAGAGTTCATGAAGCGAGGACCTCTCTCTCACCTTTCCCTGCGCACGCAACAACACAACTGCAGATATAATTATATATGCGTATAAATATAAGCATATGCTAGAATAATCACAAAAAACACACGCGATTCGGTTAAATGTATTTAACCCAATCACGGTTTTTTTTTTCCTTGATAATGAATTACATTATCTTGATAATGAAATACATTATCATGATACTGAAACTTTTAATACTGAAACTGATAATAAAACTGAAACATTATCAAGGAAATGTATTTCCTTGATAATGTGGTAAGTATCCTAGTGGATACTAGGATAAAAAAATAGTATCTTTGTATATGCTTATATATATGTAAGTATCCTAGTGGATACTTACACATATAAGCATATACGAGGACAAACACACACACATTATTATACTATATTACATGAAACCCGGCACTAACAATTTCCACTAAAAAAAAAGGGCTTGCCTGTGTCAATTTTGATAAAGAAGCGGTTAGGCTACGGGCAAACACTTGACCGTGTCTGCCTATTATGATACTGGAAGCGGTTTGGCTACAGGCAAACACCTCACCCTGTCTACGGTGTCTGTCGATTATGATAACGAAGTTCAAACGCAAAGACTAATTATGTGTCTCACAGACACATGGATCCCACGTAAAGGTTCCAGAGTGTTACTAAAGTCAAACATTATAGTGAGGAAATAATGTGCATTAAGTGGAGTTATTAGGAGTTAAGTTAATTATTTGGACAAAACGCTAAGCCAGTGTTATTAGTAATGCAAAATGCATTATATCAAACGAAGTTTATCGAGACGAATTTTATGTTTTTTTTTCGAATCGGCGTCTACGATGGTAATTATTTTAATTTCCTCGTTAGGTTATAAAAATACTTAGATATTTACTAGAATATAAATAATTGTAACACGACTAACGACGATGGGTCACGATAACGTGGCTGAAGATATAATGACCAAACTACACACCGGAAGACGAGGAGACGACGACGTTTCGGTCCGTCTTGAACCATTAGCAAGTCATTATCAACCATTACCAACAAACCCACGACTTGATAATGGTCCAGGATGGGCCGAAACGTTGTCGTTTCTCCATCTTCTCATGTGTGGTTTGGTCATCATAATACGAATAAACTCCTTCGATTGAGCTATCATAATGAAATCAAAACCTATACATGTCTAACTGGGCCAGGATCTCTAGTATCCCTTAATGACTGACTGCTGGGAATGTATAGAGTATATACAGGCGAAGAGTCACAATAACGTGGCTAAAGTAGGTTGACCAGACCACACACTAGAAGGTGAAGGGACGATCGACGACGTTTCGGTCCGTCCTGGACCATTCTCAAGTCGATTGTGAGAATGGTCATTCACAATCGACTTGAGAATGGTCATTCACAATCGACTTGAGAATGGTCATTCACAATCGACTTGAGAATGGTCATTCACAATCGACTTGAGAATGGTCATTCACAATCGACTTGAGAATGGTCATTCACAATCGACTTGAGAATGGTCATTCACAATCGACTTGAGAATGGTCATTCACAATCGACTTGAGAATGGTCATTCACAATCGACTTGAGAATGGTCCAGGACGGACCGAAACGTCGTCGTCCCTTCACCTTCTAGTGTGTGGTCTGATCAATATAGAGTATATAGGCCGATGGCTAACTCCCCAGTATGGTGTCGGGGCCAGGCAGGCCCAGGGCACTCTACCACTACCTAGGCCTACTCTATCAAACTACCAATTCCACAAGTCACCATATGGGAGGTCACCCACCCATGCTAGTCCACTAAACTCGTCAACACAGTAGGCCTATATTAGCTTCTTAAGACTGGAGCGAAGCATTTTCCGAAATCACATATAGGCCTGGTAAGAAAAAACAGCCTAGCAAAGGGGGGGGGGGCAGAGAATTATTCCAGGCAAAATACACCTTCCGAGCTATGGTTTAATTATTATTATTAGTGGTTTCTATTTCCAGATTACCTTGACAGTAATGAGCCGTTATTTCTTGGCAATTATCGTTAATATATCGTGATATATGGCATATACTCTGGCAAGGTTATGATAGCAAGTAGAATAACAAGAATGAATTGTTCTGACACTTACCTCCTTCAACTGCCCTCAACCACACCATAAAATGGATTTTATATTATAGATTATATATGACAGTATATTAAGGTGTTTTTGAGCTTATAAGACCGTGTTTAACACGTGTTTAACACATGTTTAACACAACACACACACATGTTTGCTTCAACTTACCGTTTCTGATTATAACACACAGATTCATAACATTTCCACCTGTATAAACAACGTAGTATATTTTCTTTACTATACCGTTAAAACTAACGGGAGGAATACTGTTACTTGACAAACACCGCCTTATAACCACCACCACCAGTTCCTCTAATTACACTGTTCGGTGGTTATATTTTATGTGAAATCAAACACGTAAGTTGATACACATGATTTGTTTAAGAGTGAAGATGAGTGGCGGAGTTGTACCTCACAAGGCGGGGCTTGGAGCCACACTGACACGCACCAGCCGCCTCAACCTCTCTCCTCTCAAGCAGTTGATTGACCTCCACACTAACTCTCACGGACTTGGACGCTTCGTCACACGCGTTCACGTCTATGTACGTCGCTTCCGCGTTTGGGGGGTAGAAATAGCCTAAGCTACTCTATCCGTTTGAGATGCATTTCTTTCTTATCTCAATAAACATACTTGAACTTGAGCTTCCGCGTTCACATTTATGTACGTCGCTTCATTGTTCACATCTATTTACGTAGCTTCCGCGTTCTCGGCATACACATTTGGTTCAATAACGTAATGGCACTTTTTTTTTAAATATCAGGCACGGTGATGAAAAGCCTCTAGAATGTTAGGGGTCTTGTTCTTTTGTAGTGTCATTCTACCAGCTTTATCTCTCAACCGCTTCCTTAACTGGCAGTTAAACACCTGAGGAATCTCGATCACTCAAAGATCGCATTGCTGTTCCGCTATTTCACAGCCCTCCTCTTCATAACATGGTTATAATAATAATTATAATTAGGTTTATCTAGGATAGGAAGCGGATGTATTTATTTATAATTTTGACTTGATCTGTCCCCTCAAGGTCAAAGTACTGACCCTTTCCAGGAATCAACCCCCACAACAATTGTCTAACTCCTGGTACCTATTTACAACTAGATTAAGAGAGGCATCTGGTGAAAGGAAATGTGCCCAACCATCTCTCTCCCACCAAAAGATTGAACCGAGGATCTCCCATTGTTTTACGAGAACGTTGACTACTGTACTACAGACAGGGCTGAATCTATAACTGTTTATGGGCCCTAGGCTAAAATAACTAATTGACCCCGACCCTCTTACTGTAGCTCTTCTCTTAGCGTTTATGGTCAGTGTAGCTATTCAAAAGTTTAAAAACATACATGATGGGGCGTATCTCGTCGAAACTTAAAATACTTAACAATTTAGAGGAATGTTGATCCAATGTCTTCAATAGGTCAGAAGTAACAGAGAGCAACAGTTTCAAGCTCAAAAATGTAGGACTGAACATAGGACATGATTTTTCACCAACAAGGTTATAAAGCCATGGAACCACCTACCCGCCGAAGCTGTGGCTGCAAGCTTTAACACCGTAAACATCTAGAAACACAGTGAGAGCAGAACTACCATGCTGAACTTTTTCCGTTATGAAGAAATATGATGGCTTTGAATGATACCCAGTTTTTTTATGTAAATGGAATGATGGAAATATCGAAATCATCAGCTGCAAAATCATTATCCTGTATGGTCAAATATAATGTGTTGTGTGTGTGTGTATATATATATGTGTGTGTGTGTGTGTGTGTGTGTTTGTGTTTAGAGCAATGACATCCTTGGGAATGGAAACAAGTACGGAGGTATTTAATCTTTATCACCTACAACTTACAATATCATGAATACATTTTGTACAAACATAAAAAAAACTGCACGGTTATTAAACAATCATTCCAAATTATTCATGGGGGTGGTGGTCCTGCATTTTCCTTCCCTTGAGTACTATCACAGTTAGTTTCAGCAGCACTATCTTCGCTTGACATAAGCCCGAGCTGTCTGCAAGTCCACATAAAAAAATCTGGAGGTTGTGCCGAAATAATCAAATCAGACTTGTCATTGTTAAACTGTGCAAGTCTTACTTTAGCCAGATGAAGATGACAAGGAATCATGTCTTTGGCCTGAGAAGGTAGTTCTAATTTCGAGTAAAGTTCTTCTGGTATCATCTGTCCGAAAGTAAAAATAATAAAGGTGTAATAAATATTGAGCAAAAGAGCATGAACACACTAGCAATTTAATAAATATAGGATTATATGTCACTAACCAATCTTCATACCTTAAGGTATTACCGACACAATCATCACTTTGAACATTAAAAATGATAACTAACCTGCGGTTCATAAGATGTGAGATTGTGAGGGCTGACATGAAGTTTCTTACCAGCAATCATCTTCACCCTTGATGAATACAAAGCATCCCCAAGAATTGGGCTGAAACTATGAGCAAGCCAAACCCGAAGGAAATGCCACCTTGCACTGTGAGTGTTAACCTGTGAAGTAAATACAAACATACTGTATAGTGCAGTACATACATGAACAGTCTTGCCCTGTTTTCTAAACCAAACATAATAGTTTTTTAATGTTACATATCCACACTTACACTATCTACAAATATATTTGTACAAATCTTTTAATTTCCAGTTTTTTAACATTTACCGTCTTTCAATTCTAAATACATGTACTGTACTTTGTTCATAAATACATTGGCCCATATCTTGCTTATTCACCTGACCTTACATCATGATACGTTTTTGGCAAATCCTCCAAAATCCTTGCCACTTCAACACAGAGGTCTTTGTTATTACAACTATACTAATGCTCTATTTTCCCCAATTATACATCTTAATTGCTCCATTTCTCGCCTGATGAAAATTCATCTTTACCACCTAAATAAACAAAACAAAGCCTATTCCTGAGTTGCAATTCATTGTCACACAGGATGCACTTTGCAACAAGTCACCCCAAACCTTCAGCATGCAAATTTAACATTATTTTTACAACAAAAACAATGTCTATAGCAACAACCATTTATCCAATAGTAGTTCTAGAATTATCTACTCTCACTGTCTAAATGTGTTGCAACACACTTAAGATTAGTTCTTATTCATACTCAAGCCGATTATGTTTTGCCAGATCTATCTTTATCTGTATTTATCTAAAAAAAAATTTACTCTAATTGTATTAACCTTTAAAGATTGATCATAATCAAAATACATTTATGTAGGAATGCTGGTAAACATTTTACAAACAATTTTAATTCTGTAATGTGTTTGAATATCAAGGTGAGCCATAAGGATTCAGTAGTTGACCCATATACATCAATGATATCCTGAAGTGACCCTTGATTATTTGGCATCATAGAAAAAAAGGGGAAGGAGGAATTCTTTTTAAGTGATACAGTACATATATACAGTATGTTAAAAAAGTCAATAAAAAAATAAACCATATCAACTGTTGTGTTGTAGAATTATAGACAAACATGGTGGCTGCAATACAGCACTCCAGAGACAGCCACACTGAACCAATAACACATAGATATACTGTACAGTACATTCACATCCTGTGAAAGTGGAAAATGGGGTAATGACAATATTGTATATACATGTATATACAAATACAAGTAAATAAACAAACTGTAGATAATGACGTCTCTTCGTTCAGCAATTCATCAATAACGTCTTGTGTGTTGAACTGTCATCTGAGACATCTAAGTATTTGTAAGGAACTCTCCATTTGTAGCATACACAAATCCTGGTAACACTATTATTTGCTCATCTATTCACATCTCGCCAATGGTATGTTTGCATAGGGTTCTACAACCCAAAATTACCCTATACCCCAAATTATTGAACATAAATCAGCAATTAAAACAATACCAATCTCCAGTCCCAGAAAGCACTCTGCTTCCCTACTGAAATTCTTGAATAGGTTAAATATCAAGTCACTACACATCCTCTCAAGTGTGCTTTATATCTATAAAACTCTGCACTGCAATACTATTCCTGACCATAGCCTCTTCCTAGAGGGTGTATCAGAACACATGAGCCCCATATGATAAACAAACATCTTTTTAATATTCTGATGGTGCAACTTAACCAAAGAAGAAGTTATCTGTTAGTTAAGGGTCCTAAACTGTGGAATGAGCTCCCTAATGAGATCAAAAGCTAAACTTCTCTCAACCAGTTTTAAAAAGAAACTAAACACTTCCCAATTAATCCTATGTAACCAATTTTCCTTGCATCTTCTCATCCTACACATCAACCTATGTTTTGCTTGATAATGATCCAGTACAGACCGAAACATTCTCATTTCTATCATTTCTGGTGTGTGGTTTGGTCATCATATTTTCAACCACGTTATTGTGACTCGTAGTCTGCACCTGTGTTTTCCTGTTATTGTAAACATTAATTTATATACATGTTACTAAATACTGCTGTTCTAAATGTCATTAGAACTGTGTATAATTTATTAAAACTCATCTACAATTAAAAAAGAATTATTGTACTATGTATTGTGTGTGTAACACATGTAGCTTCTAAATACAGTACCTCTTAAAAAAAAAAAAAAAAAAAAAAAAAAAAAAATAATTCTTTTGAACAATTCAAAGAATGTTTCCTCATTTAGTTTTAAGTATTACCCCATTACACTTGTACATTATTCTCCTAATTATTGTAAAGGTATGGCCAAAATGCTCTGCATACTAGTGGCTTTATGTATTTGTACTTATCTTACCTTCAAACTTTCCACTGCTCATTTATCATATGTACTCGTACAAATATAAAGTATTATTACTATACTCCAATTCACTTCTCTCAAAACAGAGCTGTCACTTTACCTGGTGATTGGTAACAATAACACTCAGATTATGACTTATCATAGTTCCTTCTCAAGTCTATCCATAAAATTAACACCTTCGTATGCTACGGTTATCTCTCTTTAATGTCTGCATATTAATATAACTATTATAAGATAAATATATATATAAAATAATTACATACAACAAAATTGTCAAAGATTCACCTCCACAAGTGCTGCGCCGGTGTTCTTATTATATATCAGAGTTTGATGCTCAACGACAGATAACTTAACTTCTCCCCTCTTCAAACTTGCTTGAGTGTAGTTTTTCAAAATCACAGGCTGAAATTAACTTTTGAAATTAGTACATATTAATAAGCTAATTACATTAAAGCACCTACAGTCACCTTAGCACTAAAGACACACAACATACTTATTATTGGTAAAATTTATAATAGTATTCTTATTTTTTTACAGGAAATTATTCACTTGTTTGAGGAGAGCTTAAGAAGGTAATTAAAGTTTTGGTCAATTATTTGTTACATTCAATTTCTCTCTTTTGTATCACTGTAAGAAAAAATTATAGTGTCATTAATATTACTGATTCTGACCTTCAATTGGTTATAAATTATTTACCCCGAGATGTTAATATAGAAAAAGAAGGCTACAGAAATTTAAAGATACAGAAATGCTTTAATTCTTGATTTTTCCCATTCCTGCAACTTCATCCTCTCACAGTCATACACAAGGGTCAGTATTGTTACTCCTTCATTCAGCCCTCTGGCTGCATCTTTTCTTGTCTTTATTCTCAGCAGGGCTCTCATTACACTAACCTCTCTCCTTCCCCGACTCCCCTCTCAGATCTTATTACACAAATTCTTCTTATATCAATCACACATCCCAGGAATTTAAATGGACTCACCACTTCTATCATTTTTTTTGTTCACACTAGTAAAATTTTCTATCTAGCATACATAAGTCTCTCTCACTTTCAGCTAAAAAGAACTTATTATATACCAACCCGTTCTCGCATATTTAATAAGTCAATATTGACTTATTAAATATGTGCATAGGTGACATACTTAACATAATAGTTCCCCTTGAAAAGCTTCATAGAAAACACCGACCTTACCTAACCTACTTAGTATGTTAAGATAAGCATCTTATTGCTTCGTAATTACAATTATTACCTAACCTATACCTATAATAGGTTAAGTAACAATTGTAATTACGAAGCTATAAGATGCTTATTTTAACATACTAAGTAGGTTAGGTAAGGTCGGTGTTTTCTATGAAGCTTTTCAAGGGAAACTATTATGTTTAGTATGTCACCTATGCACGCAACAAATAAGTCAATATTGACTTATTAAATTTGCGAGAACGGGTTGTATATACATATTATACATAAGATCTAACAAACTATTTGCTCATTAGTAAACACCTTTCATTATATATTCATTACTAAATTTTCTATATGAAAACCATCTATATACAATTTGACTATGCTTGACTGAACTATTTTGCCAATCTCCATATGCAGCTCACTGGACTATTCTGATCAAGAACCCCAGTACAGTGGAATGTTTCCACATGTGTGGAGCAGTGACACTGTGGAATAGCACACACTGCCAAAAAATGTATAAAGATTCAACAAAAATGTTTCCTACTACTGTATTTAAAGAGAATATTATCAAAATAAGAGTATACAGGCACACCTCCAAAATCTGGATTATATCCGCCTGGACCTAATTTGAATGTGTGAAATCTGGATTACCAAAAATTATTCCTTTTTTTTTTGCCTATCACTAAATTTTCTATATTTTTCATGTAAAACTCATATGAAATTCATGAAAGGAAAATACATAATATGACAACTTCTTACCACTTTGCCTATATTATTAACATATTCCAATTTGCAAGCAGCTTTGCTTGCAGCAGATACAGGTTGGGGAAGGCTCACAGTCACTGCCCAATAAGTTAAGGGTGGCTGTTGTAATGTCCTAGATCGCCTTAAACTCTTGTGAACTTTGTCAGCTAACTCTGGACTCGTACATAAAAGCATTAAACCACTACTCCATCTGCAATAAGGAAAAACAGCGGTTTTATGGTTTTGTTCAAAGAAGCCTTTTCTGTTTTACTCATTAATTATGTCTGCCTTGACAAAATGTGAGCCACTTGTTAAAATCTGCAACAACGGATATAAGCAGAAGATCAAATTTAAGGTTATGGGAAATATTTGCTTGTTAAATGGGCGGTCAATAAGTGGAACAAGTTACCAACAAAAATCATTGAGGCAAATACTATAGCTAGCTTTAAAATAAAAATACTAACTACCGTGCATACATGGAGAAGAAGGGTTTGATCTAGAAAAGCACCATCCAGAAAAGGTTAACAGTTCAATTATAGTGACTCCTTTTAATCTTATAAGGTAATCATAAAATGTTGAATTGGTAATTGAGATATATACAAGAGTTGTTACATTCTTGTACAGCCACTAGTACGCGTAACGTTTCAGGCAGGTCCCTGGAATGCGATCCCCGCCGCGAAGAATCGTTTTTACAACCAAGTACTCATTTTACCGTTGAGTTAAACAGAGGCTACCGTTAAGGATTTGCGCCCAGTAAATCCTCCCCGGCCAGGATACGAACCCATGACAAAGCGCTCGCGGAACGCCAGGGGAGTGTCTTACCACTGCACCACGGAGACTGGAATTCTATCAATACTGAACAAGACTTTCACTTAACTCGTAAGGAATATAAATAAAATGAGAGCAATCAATTCTAGACAAGAAAAATATGAATCCTGTAAAGAATGCACAAAGCAACAAAAAGAGCCAAATGTGACTCCCCTCTCATATTCATAATTTACAGTACAGTACTGTATTATTTATGAGATTAAGTAAAAATATACCAAATATACTACAGTACTGTATTCACAAGATGCAATTAATAATATTCCCTACCCATGCCCCCTCAGGAAACTCAGCTGCCTGCTCTATATATACTTCAATGTCATACTTAATAGCCAAACCGATTTTCATTATTTTCAAATATTTTATTTCCAAATTGGTTCTTTCCTAATATTTTTAATATATTATATTATGAATATAAATTACTGTCTTGCTTAGGTTATGATAGGCTAGGATGCCTAAAAATTTGTCAGTTTTTTATTCAAATTAAAAAAAAAATTGAATTAAATGTACAGTAATGTAATGGAAAGCTTCATCATTCCATAAGAAAAAATGTAAAAAAATATATTTCAGAAAAATTTGGTTTGTTAGGCAACTTAGCTTATTAGATACAACCAACATACTAACTCCAGCCTAATAAAGATGAAGTACATACAATAAGTGTAATTATTACCTTTCAGCTGATCTGATTACTTCAAGATGACTCGCACCGTAGAGCTCTTTTAAAACAGGTATTGTAGCACCCACAGTCGGCACGTGATCAGGTATGCCGCCACTATTTAAAATCTGTACCACAGTTTGTGGGCCACTGTCTGAAGAAACTCCTCTGACCTGGGCAATTCCATATGGTTTACAAAGGGCAATGAGTCCACCTACCAGAAACAAGAATGACCAAAATTTAACAAAAGCACGCATACTGAACATTATAACAAAAAATAATTCATGCTATTCAGCAAAAAAAAAAAAATAAGCAACTTACAGAGAAAAGCAGCTTATTCTGGGAGCACAAACAAGACCCTAAATGAAACTACAATACATTCTATAGTACTAAATGTGTATAGTGCTGTATTTGTAGCTGAAAAAGAAAATATTTTATTCCATCAAGTGATTCCAAAACATTGGTTGAAGAGCGTTAAACTGAGGTACATTTTTAAAATAAAACTAAACACTAATACAAATTTTACAAAAGATACAGTAGTTTAATTTTTCATACAAGAAGGAATGAAGACACCAGTGTTAAATGTAATGAAATGCCTCTTTCTGATATGTCCTTGTTGGCCACCTGATGCTAACCACCTGAATAGCTCCACACATCAACTTTTCCCAGGCCCTTTCAAGTAATGAAAAATCTACTGGGCATCAGAAGCTAAAACCTTCCCCCTTCATAAAGGCAAAGAGAGCAGAGGATACTAGCTCTCTCTTACCTAGAAATTAACCACCAGAAAGGTAGAATGGGACAAAATGGACAAAAGCAAGGAAAACGTAAACAATCCAGAAAACGAGAAACACGATAGTTAGGTAGTTTAACTACTGTACTGTACTAGTTACACTTCCCTATCACCAGGTGGCAGCACTGGGAACCACTGGCTCAGCTAGCATATCCCCTTCAGTCACTGGCCTGGTGCTGCAAAGTGAACAGTGCTCCATCAGATCGCCCTTGTTGTACGGGTCCTACATACTTTCCAGGTAAGTGGAGGCCATCCTTTGGACTCTGTTCTGGGGATGCCAATTAGTGTATTTGTTCAGTTTTTCTCCACCTTTCTGGTGGCTATTTTCGTGGTTAAGAGTGATTTAATATCCTCGGCTCTCTGGACCTCTGTGAGCGGACAAAGTTTTGGCCTTTGATCCAGGAAGTCCCCCCCCCCCCCGAGTCAAAAGTGTTCTGGGACAATTTGATGTGTGGGGAGCCCACCAGGTGATTAGCAACAGAGCCACTGTGGAGCCCCTCGACAAAATAATTCTTGGCATAACTCACCACTATTATAAACTTCTGTGCTTTTTAGATGTTCTGCTAATTGCAGTTTTGTTTTCCATGGGTACATAAGTTTGAATATATGACCTTTATTGGTTTCCTCTTCACCCTAAAAAAATAAAAAACCATTAAAACTAGAACATTGCTGACAATCACATTTAAGGCTGGGGCATTAATGGCAAGACAAGACACATCGCTGCACACAATATTTTGCAATATATAAATATTTTTTGGTATACATGACATCTAATTTATAAGGATATTTTGCAGAAATAAATTTGCTTGTATGTTTCATCATAAATTAAAAAGTGATTTTCAAGTGGGTTTTCCCCTACAAAATGTTTATATATATTTGGGTTTCCCTCAAATATATATTAATATTGTAAAAAACAATTTTAACATATATGGTTGGTGAAATAAAACATGCATCTTATTCACCAGCATATATGGTATTATATTGATATACAATACCAGGGCAGAAATATTTTTACTTATGAAGGTCCAACTGGCCAAGAGAGGTTACCCATGTGGCAACACATCCTGTTACCAGCCAATTTCAGAGTAACTGTGTAATGTCTTCATAGTGTAATACTGACCAAATGACAATCATGAATACAATATTACATTATATAAAGTAAATAAACAAATTCCTCATGTATTATACAATACGAAAATACAAAATGAGAAAAGGAGTAGAGAAAGAATGTGGATGGCCGGGTTATTTTGTGTGGGTGAATTGGTTTGTATGAGTGGGTGCATGTGCCTATGGCGTGAGAGATCTACGTCAAGGGGTAGAAGGGAAAGAGCAAAACAAAGAAAATAAAGAAGCATTTTTTGTTGATCATTACCCTTCTCACATGGTATGAAAATTTATTCCTGAACTACTAACTTGTAATGCTCTTCTTTTCAATATGCTTGTTTTATGTTTGTCTATTTTTGAGCGTGAAGATTTTCCCTTCTTGACATGTTTCACAGCAGTTGCAATTGTACGTGTAGAGCTGCGACCACATCCCCATGCCGAAGGTATTTTGATAACTTTGCCAAAATACAAAAACATGTCAATTCTGCAAAGAAAATTGGTACTGTAATATAGTTTTCATTGTTTAAGTACGGGGAAAATATTGAAAATGTAAAATACTACAATCAATATTTGTTACATAGGCACTAATTCAGAAAAATAAAAAAAGAGAAACTAATACACAGTTTTCTATTGAGTGTTAATAAGAAACGCTCTACAATGTCTAGCCACATATACAGTACCCTATATATATATCGTATACAAATTGAAGTGCAGAATTTTTGTGCGCAATAATTTAAGAATAATTAAGAATTAAGTTTAAGATAAAAACTAAGCACTACCTAATTAACTCCCTGTAACCTACCTTACCCCTAAAATGTCAACCCATGTCTGCTATTTTTAAACAAAGCTGTTTGTCGACCAAATTGTATTTATGCTATTTTTCTGCCATGTTCCCCCCTTTTTTATTTTTATATTTTCTAAACACATTTTATACTTTAATCACAATTAGTATTAAGTTTTAGTCTTTAGTGTTTTCCTGCCCGAAACACTTTGCGTAATAGTGGTTTTAGGCATTGTATGTACGAGCTCTATCTATAAATCCATCAATATTTGTATCACACCTTGTATGTATGTACTTTACCTGAATAACATTTGAATTTTTTGAATTTGAAAATTCAAAACATTTGCAAAACATAGAATACGAGTGACCAGAAGGTTATCTGATAATCTACACTAAACGTGCATATCATTAAAATTCACCTGCTTACTATACTGTACTGTATTTTGAACCTTAGTATAAAAGCATTTTCCCTTGTACCACCAAAATCCACATTCTCCAATAAACTGTAGTACAGTGCAAATCAATGGGTTTATGTATTTAATATAAAACAGTATTATAGTTTAATTATCGCACTCAGTTTGCCTACAAGTACTATAGACTAATTCAGATTTTGACGCAAAAATTTCAACAAAAACTCGGTGAAACAAAGTACAGTACAGTAACAATTTTATCTATTCGACCATATACATACAAGTGTAGTAACACACAGTCCTATCTTGAGGTTATCTTGAGATGATTTCGGGGCTTTAGTGTCCCCGCGGCTCAGTCCTCGACCAGGCCTCCACCCCCAGGAATCAGCCCGTGACAGCTGACTAACACCCAGGTACCTATTTTACTGCTAGGTAACAGGGGCATAGGGTGAAAGAAACTCTGCCCATTGTTTCTCGCCGGCGCCCGGGATCGAACCCGGGACCACAGGATTACAAGTCCAGCGTGCTGTCCGCTTGGCCGACCGGCTCCCTGCCCAGGAATCGAACCCAGGATCCTCTATTGTGAGTATAGAATGTAGCCACTATAAAAAAAACTTATATTACCTATTATTTTCATTAGGTAAGGTTGTTTATAGAGCATTGACAAATTTTTTTCAAGACCTTATAGTAATATGACTGCAGTCAACTGAAATTTGGTGGGTTTCCAAAATGAAAATTTGGTGGGTTTCCGAGCCAAATAGGCCACACTCGAGATGCACAAACTCTTCCAAAAATAAATTCCTGGTAATACTGGAGCAAATTTGCTTACTTCTTTTAGTAACATAATAAGTAATTATCAAAAGGAGCCAAGCTGGGAGACTATGTAGGGCCATCAAGGTTGCAAGAAGTAAGGTAAGAAGCAAACAAAACAATTAACAATTATTTAAAAGTTGTTGATATCCTTTCATTTAATAAATCAAAATGATTTAATTTGTTGGTGCAGCCAAGGAGAACAGAGTTGATAATATAATTCATAATAATTCATTGTGTCGGGTGACAGGCAGCCAGTGAATAGGTACAGTAATGTTAGGCTTATATCCAGGTCCCCCCCTCCCCCCAAGGTTGAATTATTGACCCTTTCTCCAGGATAACAATCCCAAACAAACTGACTAGCTCCTGTGTACCTATTTACTGTTAGGTGGACAGGGGCATTAGGCGATAAGAAACGCGCCCAACCATTTCTGTCCGCCCGGGATTCGAGCTCCGAATTCTCAATTGTGAATACGGGAACTTTATATATAATTTACGGTTATACGTCACCATTTAGTATAATTAATTCAATTATAATGCCACTTATTGTACGCCTTATAATTTACTTATTACTGTATCTACTTCAATCATGCCACTTTGAGGTAATATTCCCAAGCAATATAATATACAAAACATACATAAGTTTAAGCGCTTTCTGTTCACTATACCTAAAAGCTAATTGCTTAAGCCACTAAAGTAATATCAAAGAGAAAATACGAAAGCACATTACAGGGAGCTGAGGCGGCGAGTCTCAGCTGCTCACCACCACAACAACAGTCAAGCGAGTGTCCGTCTGGTACGTCACTAACTCAACCCAGGTACGATAGATACATCATCTTATTTATATAGTTCTTTATATATATGAATAGTTACATTGTAAAGTAAATTTTATTCATGAAAGTATATACATAGTTGTTTTAAGAACATAATGTTGGTTTTATAGAGCTAGTACATACAATAAATAAAGCCACTAGTACGCATAGCGTTTCGGGCATTTTGTACTTACCTAATTGCATTTTGACTACACACTTATTGTAAGTTACTTTGCTAAATGAATTGTAGGGTTGAGTCCCCACCCATAAAACCCACAATGGGTTCAGTCCCTGCGCCCATTATATATTTCTGTAACCCTTTACACTCCCGCCCACAAGATGGGTATGGGGTGCATAATATGTGAGCTAAACTAACACTTATTGTATGTCATCGCAAGGTAAAGCCTTATAATTTACTTGTTATCTACTTTCATTTATATTACTAAACTTTACTTGTAATTGTATAAAATATTTAGTCCAGGACGAGTATCATTTACCTCCCCTCAAAAAGCTTTTCAGAATAATGGTGTCAATTCTAATATATTTCGTGAATATTTCATTTGCTTTTGTCCTCCACAAGGATTACATTGTGTAGATTAAAAAAAAGCAATAAGTTTATCTAATATCCCCAGGACAGGATGGTATGTCAAGATCAAGCCAAATTGGGAACCTTCGACAAGCCGCCGACTTTCCTGTCCTCGTCGAGGCCACTAACGTTAGTGGCTTGGTCCGTTTCGAGGCCAGGCTCGACTTCTGAGCAACTTTATTTATATACACAAGAGTTTTTACATTCTTGTACAAAAAAAAGCAACTTGATCCAACAGGCTGTTGCTTGGAGTGGCCCCCAGGCCCACATCTCACAAGTGGCCTCGACGAGGACAGGAAGCCAATGGCATGTTAAATGTCCTCTCATTTTTTTTAAACAGCTGGATTTTGAACGGCAACAATTTTTTTTTTAATGTATGGCTAATGCAGATAAACTGTTCCATGGGTTTATGAATCTATGGGTGAAAAAGCATCTGTTTTCTGTCAGACTTTGTGGCTTGTTGAACTTGATGTTGTTGCTCCTTGTATGTGTTACATCTAACCTTTTATTTTTTTTTTATTTATATATACAAGAGTTTTTACATTCCTGTACAGCCACCAGCATACGTTGCATTTTGGGCAAGTCCTTAATCCTATGTTCCCCGGAATACGACTCCGCCAAATCGTTTAACATCCAGGTACCCATTTTACTGTTGGGTAAACAGAGGCTACAGTTAAGGATTGGTGCCCAGTCAATCCTCCCCGGCCAGGATCAGTATCCTCCAAATTGTTCAGTATTTTAAAAGTTTTGATGAGGTCAGCCCTGTCATGTCTAGTTTCCATTTAGTCCTGTGGCCCTCAACCCATGCTGGTGTAAAAGTCGCCTTAGGTTAAGAATGAATTTTGATGTCTGGTGATTTGGTAGTTGTGATGTGCATTACTATTGGTAATAGCAAAATGCTTTTGTATATCATGGGGCAGGTTTTATGCTAGAAGCGCTTTATACTTATCAGCTAGCAAGTTAGCATAATCTGATGGTGAATGGTAAACATTTTAGGTGTGGAAGTTGCATTAATATTTGTAAGAATTGTATCCATTATACTGGGTATATAGCTAATCTTTCAGGCTCTGAAGTTGCATCATGGGTGGAGAAATGTATTGACTCATTTGTCTTGTGGGCTTTATACAGCTCTGCTAAATAGATTACTGTACTTGATCATGCATGGACCTCAAGCATGGGTCACAGCAGCAGCATAAAAGCAGAAAGTAGCAATACAGCAGGAACAGAAGTATAGAAACAGGTAAAAAATTTAAATTTAAATTAGAATAGTGGATATAGGAATCAAGTCTCGGGTGCTGGTTCCTATTCCTGTCAAGGTACCTTGTATGTTTATACTCTATACTACAATATCTTACGAGAACACCAAAACAGTTTGTTGTTAGCGAGGTGAATTTCATTAGAAAATATAGAATATTCAGTAGGTATTTCTTGTAAAGAATATTAGTTGCAAGGTATAATTTTTTCACTCCCATATCTGAAACTATTATACTCAGTGTTAATCTGTAATAGCCTACAATAATGGGTCACCTGAGATGTAACAATGAGAATATATGCATAAATTCAAAAGGAATAACAATAAAAATGAGTACTGCATTTACTAAAAAAGATATTTATTTCAAGTATAAGATAATCAAAGAGAACATGAAACAATGTTTATTATCAGCGGCACCAATTGGCAGCGGTGTTGACAAACAAACAAGAATCATATCACCGCATGGATGGAGTGACAACACATTGGAGGAGGACATGCATGGGGGGTTCTCCAGGGTGGCATATCACTGGACTAAGACATTGGTACAGTATATTACAAGACATTCTGATCTAGGAAATGTTAGGATATCACACTTTATAGGTTGTTCATGTCTCCTGCATTTTGTTCTTAATATTATTATAAATAATAGACCAAGTTACTGTACTGTGATTCTTTCAAATGTTTACAGGCTTAAATACAATACCTGGATTTATATGATCATTTCCAATATAACTTATAAATGTTCTTGTAAACTTATTTATAATCCACAATCAGATTTTGTAAATTACACAGAAAAAGTGGCAACTTAGTGCCATAGGAAATATTAAAGAAATGTACATCAATTTAATTTCTCTCAAATCCAAAATACTTGGACAATATTAGTGTACAGTACTGTACTGTACTTTCTTTTTCCCTTAAACTACCCAAGCAGTCTCTCTCCTCTCAATCTAGTCATGAATTATTCAATAGTTACACATTCAAAATAACTGAGTGGAAGAATAGAGTAAAGGGACAGAACTCGCACCAAAACAGAAATGAGGCGGAGAGTGCACATCAATATATGAATTGGGTCTTCTAGTATCTATTGGGGAATTTTGTGACTGCTAACACTACCCATTTGTTCTCAACTATTGGCATTCCTGTTGTAGTATGTAGTCTTGCAGGTTATATACCTCTGCTTCTACTGTTTTCTAAGAACTCCAGTGTACATGTAGGAGCAAGGCTAATGGTTTTTCTCTTCCCCTGCTTTCTCTCTGGAATATTTTGTATTTTTTGGGGAAAAATAGCATTTACTATTACATTCATCAGTGCTCTTTTATGGTTGTAATTCTTGTGTTCTTGCACAGAGGGTGGCATTTTTTAGTTGAAGTGGTGCAGTCTGTGAGAAGGGCAGGGGGTTATATTTTGATTGTGTGCGTCACACTTGCTCATGCTGTTGGGCAGATGCAGCAACTGGTTATGTGGATATAATACATTATGATAGTGAGGATTTTGCTGTGTTGGCAGTTCCCTTATGAACTTTAGTTATTTCCCTTCCAATGTTTGCTCACCTTTCCTTCTTGCTGCCACCCTGTTTTTCTTCAACATGTCCTGACTAATGTACACTTTGTGGTCTTTTATTTTACCCTTCATTTTCTACTTTTCTCTTGCTATGTATTTAATTTTACAGTTCCCGTGGTGCAGTGATAAAACACTTGCCCGGTGCTTCACAAGCGCTTTGGCCTGGGTTCATATCCTAACCGGGAAGGATTGAGTGGGCAACAGTCCTTAACTTTAGCCTCTGTTCACCCAGGAGTGGGTACCTGGTTAAATGATTTGGCGGGTCATATTCCAGAGAAAAAATATGATTAAGGACCTACCCGAAATGCTGTGTGTGCTAGTGGTTTTACATGAATGTAAGAACTCTTATATATACTTTAACTTAAACTCTGATGTCCAAAGAGCTTGGAAAGGGTGTAAGAGAAAGAAGGATGAGGCTAGTGGTAGGGCTTGTATATACAGTATATATATATATAATATATATCAATATATATATATATATATATATATATATATATATATATATATATATATATATATATATATATATATATATATATATATATATATATATTATTAAACTTGTACCTAGTAGCCAGAATGCACTTCTCGGCCTACTATGCAAGGCCCGATTTGCCTAATAGGCCAAGTGATCTTCTTTATTATGAAATTTTTTTTCCAATTGGTTTATTTGAATTATTATTATAATACTGATGACCACGGCCGTGCTTGAATTCTTTGTGAAGAATTTCATTGTTTGCCTGCATTTTTGCTTCTTTTAACATAAAAGTTTTTATTATATATCATGCCATGGGTCCCAAGAAAGTCAGTGGTAAAGTTCAACCTAAGAAAATAATTGTGAGGAATGACGATAGTGGAAAAACAAGAGATCATTCGTAAACATGATAATGGTACGAGGGTTGTTGATGTAGAGTAGAAAATGTCCTTTCCTCATTTATTAAGAAAATGTGTGCAATATGGGAAGAATTGCAAAGTTTTGCTGAAAAGTGTCACCAAATTCAAGCTGTAGCAGACCGTTGTGTTAACCTTTTTAATGACAATGTGATGTCTCACTTCAGACAAGTATTACAACATAGGGGAAAAAACAAGTGTTGCTGGACAGGTTTTTAGTGAGAAAAACAAACAGTGAGCCACAAGCAAGTCCTAATGGTATGCAGGCAAAATGTAGGAGAGAGAGAGAGAGAGTACCCCAGAAAAGTCAAAACTGCCTGATGTTATAATGGAAGGGGACTTCCCTTCCAAACACTAACACCTCTCTTCCTCCCCTTCTCCTCACCATCTTCCATATGCCAACAAGAGTCCTCATTAAAGGTAAAATATACATACTGTAATGTAGCTAGTACAAAATGAGTGTTATTCGGTATAAAATGTATTTTTAAGTTAATATTTTTGGGGGTGTGGAACGGATTAATTCAATTTGCATTATTTCTTATGGGAAGATATGTTTTGTTTGACAAATTTTTGGTTGACGACGCATCTCTGGGAACAGATTACAATTGTAAACGAAGGTACCACCCTGTTTTACCAAAAACTTGCCCAACAATATTCCACATTTTATTGCATAAATTAGTAAACAAAATTATATTGGTAGCAAAGGTCAAGCAATCTAGAGAGAAAAGGAAAATTATGAAAGAAAAGTACATGACGCCTAAAAAGCCTTGCATATCACAGGTGATTATTTAATCAAGACACATTTATATAAAAAAAATGCTACGACACACACTACTAATAACCGCCACCAGAATAACAAACAAAATAAGGATTTCTTGCATACATTTTCTAACCTATGTGACTCGGATATGATTATCAACTCTGCTGCCTTTACAACTATCGTACAAATCACAGTTTTAAAAGATCTATAAAAATGTAATGGTAAAAAAATGCTACTCACTGCATCACTTTCATTAAATTCTTAATCCATCAGTAGAGAATACAAATTTTCTGTGGATTTACAGAAATAATACTAGACTTTGACTAGATATAGCTTTTCCAGCTATGATAAAACTGATTACAGTACAGATAAGGTTAATAGCAGTTACCATTAAGATCTATCACTTGTGCTTATTTAAAACAGCTTAAAATATATACAGTATACAATATCTAATGAAACATATGCTGTCCAAGATATCCAATGCCAACTTGTGCATAATCTTCTTTGGCCACATCACACTGAAAGAAAATATCAAATGCTGATAATTTTTCATTGCCAGTGATAAAATTCTTTTATGCAGAAGATAATAATCAACAAGCTTGCATTGAATTAACATGACTTTTTTTTTGGTGAATGCTTCCTTTAAAAATAATGAAACTTGTACAGTATACAAAATCAGAAATTTGATATAAGAAATGCAAACAAAATCTATTCAACATTATAACAAATTATACAGCAACAATCTAAAATATATTATGCTATATGACCCAAGTAATAATGCTAAGATATCCAGCAGATGAGACACGAGTTGGTACATTTTCGGAGAAATGTATCAAGCTTCCAGGAATGTAGGAGATGACTGCCTGAGAGCCTCAAATACGTAGCACTCTTAAATGCTGCATATATTTATTTTAATACTGTATGCAGTATTCTGCACAACTTTAACATAAAGAAGGAATAATATACTCCACTTCCAATTTATTTATCTATTATATAATGCAGTAGTGTCTAAAGTAAGCCTTTGATCAGCACAAATTTGGAAAATGTGAACCTAAACCTGCTCACATTTGGTTTAAACGCCAAAATTCTAAATGTACATAGATTGTTTCGTCCATTCATGAGTTGGTGCCTTGGAGTCGTGCAAATGCACACCTACAGTATTTTGGAGTATGATGCCTAAATACAATGCTAAAACTATATGACATCAAAGTTATCATACATTTCATGCCATTTCTGGATTAACTTCCTGTATTTGACACCTTCCAAGGATTCTAACTGTATATGTTCTGTATATTTAGTTGGAAACTGGTATGTGTATTTAGTAATAATGAAAAATTAGAGAGAAATAAAAAAAAAACTTGTCATTTGTTGTGTGTGTTTCCCATGAATGTGTCTGTCGTGCTGATCAAGGGCTGACTGTTCTCATGCGGTCTACTACATCGTCTTCAATTTTTAGATATTCATTTGTTTGGATAAAGTTGAACAATCACTGAATTTGTCCAGAAACTTTGTCTGGTTTAGCTCAGAGTTACTCATTGTGAGCTATGTAACTTGCCCAGTTGGCTGCTCTAAAGTGCCATGTGTGTTGTTCTCTATGTTGTGTGTGCTTTCTTTACATCCTTGAATTTATCTTAAGAATTTTGAGACACCCTTGCATTACCAGAACTAAAAACACAGGTACTGTATAATGTCAATGAAGTCTTCTATCAGTGGCAATGTGAAGAGCAAATGTGTAGTGATGGCCGAGAAGAAGGCAGAACTAATTACAAAGGCTGAGAGTGGTATTCCAAGGAGCACAGTTTGCTCTGATTAACTAACCCCTACAAGTATCTCTGGGAATTCTCATTATCTGCCGATGTAGATCTGACCAAATGTAAACTGTGTCAACAAAATTATTCGCACACCCTCCGTCACTATGTGATGGAGTGCGAAAAGATACGTGAATTTAGAGACAATTCTATAACCAATGTTCCAGCGATGTGTAAATATTTCATTCAAAATGAACTACTACCAGAAATTTTAGCCAAATATCCCCAGTTTGCTAACTGTAGGTAATAATTGAGTGATTGTAACCTATCCACCGCTGCCCACTGGATGGGGGGCAGTGTGCAGGACAAACATATAAATTGTGACACTAGCTCTCCACATATATCAGTTGCTTAATTTAGAACCTGTACTTGAGGTCGATCTCGAACCCATTGTTTATGTGACGACTTATATTGAATTTTGTAACTAGCTCATCAAGATTGTAACTTGCTTAGCTAAATGAATTGTGGGGTTCAGTCCCTGAGCCCATTATGTGCCTCTGTAACCCTTTCCACTACCGCCCACAAGATGGGTATGGGGTGCATAATAAATGAACTAAACTAACTAAGATTACAAAAGAGCTTTGAAGTCAAATCTAAGTTTCTTGGAGTTATTATCTAATTTTAGAAGGCCTTCTCAGGATGTGATGAATATTTAAAATGAATACACCGTGTTTTTGAACATTGAAAAATGGCTTGGCAATTAAACACTTAGACTAGTGTATTTTAAAAGACCTATTAAAATAGATAGTGCCAAGGCACTTCATCAAGTGACCCTGGCATTTCAACATGACCCTGGCACTCCAGCATCTGCTCATAGCTCCAAAATCAAATTATGTAAAAAGAACTATAAAAATTAAAAAAAAATATTCAAAGGGAGGCAATATCTTTCATCTTGTTGAGCACCCTGAAATTTGTTAGCTATTTTCATTTTAGAAAGAGGTGACCAGATACCGGACAATACTGTACATGTTATTTGGCCTGTCTCGGTCTTGAGAGGTCTGGAGGCGACGAAGTTGACTGCGTACAGTGTATATATATAAAGCATGGATGTACTGTATACAGTATATATATTACATATGTATTACATACAGTATTGTACATATAATGTATTTCCACTCAAATAGGAATACAGTGCTTGTACCGGACCCTTCCAATGCCACCAGAATTCCCCTGCATGTAATAGTTTCTATTTTCTGCTATTTTATTCAAAAATTATTATGCTTTTATTAGGACACACAATACAACACATTTGTTATATTACATTTTGATAGAAAAATCACTTGCATAGAGTCAAATTATATATATATGGGTTGATTTTCTTTTAATGCATTTCAGCACTGAATTCCATTTTAGCGAATGCATAGGCTCGCTCCACCGGAAGACTTCCATTATGCATTTCTCTTGCAACCAAATACAGCACAGTGTAACACCCATACTAGCAGGACGGACTCCTTTTGTTACATCTGGCTTTCCGGTACAACGAGTTTCATTTGAGCGGGAGTTAACTGTGTGTGTGTGTGTGTGTGTGTGTGTGTAATTATCTATGAATGTATATGTGTGTGTGCATGTATATAAATTAATAATAACAATAATTATTAATATAATATATAATACATAAACATGATATACTGCATGCATATACATACACTATACATATGAACTGTACATTATATATAAACGTTAATAAAAAAAACTGAATTTAGATTTGGCACTAACTATAACTTCTTGAATACAAAACATTTTACCAAAACTTCTCTAAGAACCTCTACTACCCAGATACTGTAATAAGCCATTGTATTCATTTTCTTGGTACTATTATGCTACCATCCCATGCTAGGCTTACCCAGTGGGCACCATTGGTTTGGAAGCAACCAACGTTACAGTCTGTAACATTGGTCACTCAACCAATGTTACAGTGTGTAACGTTGGTCACTCTCAACCAACGTTACAGTGTGTAACATTGGTCACTCTCAACCAACGTTACAGTCTGTAACATTGGTCACTCTCAACCAACGTTACAGTCTGTAACATTGGTCACTCTCAACCAACGTTACAGTGTGTAACATTGGTCACTCTCAACCAACGTTACAGTGTGTAACGTTGGTCACTCTCAACCAACGTTACAGTGTGTAACATTGGTCACTCTCAACCAACTGTGCCCTCTGGATAAGGACAGCACATTTTGATACCTCACAGGATTTAAAGCTCATTTGATTGCTGGTTAATTTACAAGGACATGATTATTATCTAAATAACAAGTATCAGAGTGTGTCATCTTTGATGTTAAATGACTTTACACAGTATTATGGAGATATCAATACAGGTTCCTTATCATGAAGGGTCGTTTCCTTCACTCACCCTACAAAACATTTTTTTTTTCTCCAAATCATCCCAATGCTCGAAGTACAGCGCAGCACCTGTAATCCCACTGATTACTGTATAACAGTCCTTCATTTATATGCAGATACTACAAATACTAAAGTGCGGAGAAAAATCACTAATACTGAATTTCATTACTCCATTCATTCACATCACCATAAAATCAACTCCTATAAATCTCTGCAGAAAACCTTTATGAAAATTGCAATACAAAGACATATGAAAGACTTTCAATAACAACAACAACAACAATTAAATACACTCATACAAATGCATAAAACTGGGATTCTTAGAGTGCTGCTTAAAAATAGAACCCATCAGAATACTGGGATTCTATTTTTTTTTTTAATATTCTTGTACATTATAGTTTTAATTCATAAAATATTAAACTTTCAAGATTCCAGTCAATCTGGCAGTCATCATAGAATAGTCTGACTATGGAATCTTTACTTCATTTCAGTTACTAACTATTACAGTAATTCATAAAATAATGCCTATAGTATTTTGAAGGTTTTAATCATTATAATATAAGATCTTTATGAAGGGTTGTTTCCTATCTACTTGATAACTACTGGCCATATGGAGTTTGATATATATATAGTACAGTAAATCCTTACATGTTTGCTAATTCATAGTTTGCAAATTTGTATTTTTCCTAGCAAAACATTTAAGATTTTTATTTATATAGATATGCATACACTGACATCACCATTTTCCTGTTTACTGAAATATTGTACATTGTAGGCTAAGAATGAAAATTTTGTTTAATTAAAATTAGTCAAACTTTGATGTGAATGGCCTGAGGCTGATGGCATTATTATGCACACCAACAATGTTCCTGAGCATCAAGGCCCCAGAGAGTCTGATATGCTTACCCTATGTAAGACTTTATTGGATGCACATTCTATTTTATTTTCATTGCAGGTACACTTTCTTCTTTATCTCGGCATAAATCAAATTTAACCCTGAAGACTTAAGTCCAGGTACATCATATGATGAGCTCAGGGCAAGTTACATTGTTGAGTGGGTGCATAAAATGATGCATCTTTTGTGCCAATGTTTGAACTGCAATCGCATCTTTTGTGCCAATGTTTGAACTGCAATCACATCTTTTGTGCCAATGTTTGAACTGCAATCGCATCTTTTGTGCCAATGTTTGATTTGCAATCGGTTCCAATTAGTTCTAATTGCTATTCACAGATGTTGCTGTACTACCCAGCAGGTCTGGGAGGCAGCAGCTTACCCCCATTATTAATTTATAGCCAAAAGGGAGGAAGGAAGAGGGAAGGGGGGGGGGAGGGGGATTGTATCTCCTTTGGCTTCCATCCTAGGTAGAATGTTGATAAATTTTATTTGTTCCTTGCTTTTACATACAGATCTATCACTTCATATGAACATACTGTATATTTTTTAAATGCATTTTAGTGAAAATTGTGACAAATCAGGAGTGCAGATATCATCAACATTACGTTTTTTAGGGAAATAAATTAATATTTTCTGAATAAATATCTTGTATGGAATTTCCATGAGGGCCGGGCTAAAAATTACCTGCATTTAGAGTTGATACTGTATTAGTGACAGATTAAAGCACATTTGGTCACTTTATAGTGTTATTGGATGAAGATGTAAATGTTTAATGAATTAAAAACTGTGCATAATAAGGAATAAAGTGCACCAATCTTACATGCGGAAGCCCTATACTTCTGACCAAACACCTCTTCGTGCAAAAGTCCACTATGGGCTTACCATAGCCAGAGCTACATTGAACTTTTTGTCTCAAGTAGCTGAATCTCAAACAACAAAAACGACCTCTTCGTGATGGAAAGTGTGGACACCACTGCTTCTACATTACTTTGATTTTATACCTTCTATGGATTAACAACCTTTAAGATGTTGGAAAAAGTAGTACGACAATATGACATGGAGGAAAATCCCGATCATTTCATGAATAATAAACAGGAATTATTTATGCAAAACAGATATCCATATAAATTGATATGTATTAACTAACAGTGATATACTCTAATGTATTAGAATAATAGAAGCAAGAAAATGCAAAAGATATGTCTGGTAGTGCTGACTAGCTTATTCCAGCTAACATCATGTACCCTTTGATACTGTTGCACTGACACTTACCTGAATTTACCTGAAAGCCACTAGAAATAGTGGACTTGATAAGGACAGGATGCTGGTGGCTTGTGAAAGACTGCCTATTCTATAGTTTTGTAATCAGGAACCCAGGAATTAATAAACTATCAATGACAGCAATTTCATCTCTAAGCTGGGCAAGATGACTTGGTATTCCTCATGAGTGTTGTCATAAAATGAGGCCTCTTGACAGGAAGTGTGACTCTCTGAAAAATTTACTAGGAAATACTAGAATTAAGAATGCCAAATACATTTACAATGTGAGTTGAACCATAAAATTTTTTAATTTATAAATAATAAAGTTACTACAGACTCTAAATGAAGAGTGACTACTATTTGAACTTCTTCTCAGGTTGTTTCTTTAATTCAAGAAGTATTATGAAATAGTTGATTAAATTAATTTAATTTTAAACACTGATAGTGTTTAAAACGTTTAAGTGCCTCAATGTGCATTTGTTCATAGTTACTATGCACCTATATAGGTTAATAATGAATTGAAATGATTTCTGTTTTTGAATAAAATTACAGTATACTAAAGTGATATTACTATATAATAATGATGATGAAGAACAAAGTTATCTGCATTATTATATTTTGGTCTTCTTCCCAAGGCTCTCTGAAACTAAATCAGCCTTGCAAGCAGGTAAGGGTTTACCGTACTACTACTACTCCACCTGTGTCGTGTATACATAAGTGCATTTTGTGTAACACCTATCTGTTGTCTGCTGTTATAGGAGGAGAGCTATGCTCATGGTAACCGTTTTCTATTATATGTATTAAAAAAAAAAATGACACCGAATAATAGTTTTGAAACTTCAGGAGGTTTTGGCCCAAACTGCCCCTTTACTGGGGTTTAATCTAGCCAGGTATAAGTACACTGGGTGTTAAAAAATACTTCCTCGTATCTTTATCTAAAGTTCCACTCTTAATTTGCAACTGCAGCCTCTTGTTATGTTTACCTAACTTTTCTAAAATTCTTCTGTCCGATTTCTTGTGTCCCTTGGCAAACCTATATTGGGTTATCACACTTTCCTCTCTATGCTCTGTGTATGTGTATGTGCTTGTCTCTACTGTATATTTAAATGTATTCAGTACATATATGTTTTTCATTAATTTTTCTTATTTCTTTTCTTGATTATATATATGTATACAATAAATATAAGAGTAATATGTGCAGAACATTAAGCATACATATATACAGTATCTAAATACAATATAGTATTTGAAACTTGAACATTTTTGTGGTCTATCTCATTTTCCTATATCTAAGATTCTTACAAAAACCTTTCACAGTGCTGATGTCTGTACCTCAGGCAAGAGAGATGTATTTTATGTACGAGTCATTCAAATAACACTTCTTATCATTGCTCGGTTATACGAAGACCCTTAACCTTAGCTGTTATTAGTTTCTTCACTTTTCCATAGGTTTATGCACCTGTATTGTGGTATTGTCATTGTCACTTTAGGGCATTTCAACCGTATGGTTTTTCCACTCCTTATTTTTTTTGCAATAATCACACTTCTTTACTTAATTTCATAATCATTAGATGTACGTAACTACACATAATTTAGTTAAATTTCATAGTCACTATCTGATGTACGTACATAAATATGTATAACTTCAAGTTTATAGTCACCATTAGAGATAATTACATATAATTTAGAATTAGACGAGGCACCCTTCATGGTCTAGGAAGTAAATTATGAACACTAACACCCCGGCATATGCATAGTAAGGGCTTTAATTCGTCTTCTTTTTTCGATGTTCTCTTCTCTTTTCATCATGAGATTGGGGCAATGGACGTAATTCACGACAGTCACGCTGGAAATTTACAAGAAATAGTTTTTTGTAAGTCTTAATAATTTAAAATATTGTAATTAATTATATGAGAACACATAGAAAGGATTATGATGTTATATAATGCCAAAATTCATAATATTTGAATAATGCATGACTGATCTCAGTAATCGACTTTTAGTTGGTGGTTAATATGATTAATACAAATTCAAGGCAGTATAGTGAAGTTGCTGCAACTCAAAGCTTTCCAGCATGTGTGCATTCTATAAATTCTGCCGGTTTCAAGACAAAACAATCAATGTAAGACCAATATGAGAAAGTTTATGTACAGTATTTTGAAGTAAAAGGTTAGCATTACTGTACAGTATTAACAATTTATCCCATTATGTTAAATGCCAATTCTCAAGCAAGAAAGGTTACTTTATTTTGGAGATTTGACTGAATGACCACCTCTGAAAAAATTTATTACAAAATTTCTTCCTAAATCCCACATGGCAATTTAAATTAGCCTTCATCTCATAATCTTGTTGTGTAGAATTGCCAATTGAGCTACAATATTCAATATAAAATATCCACAAGTACACTTACCAATATTTCATCATCCGGTACTCTGGACAAGAAGTCTAATATTTCGTTGTTAATCACGGAGTGCGGGCGAATCAATTTACGTGAAAACTTGTTGATTCCCCACAACATGACCAAGTAGCGGATGGGAATGTAGTAGAGAATTACCGTCCCCACAATCAGCACCAAGATCAACAACCAAGACAGGAATGGTACTGAGAAGTTGAATGTACTGTGCAAGAGATTTGAAAGGAAATTAAACATATAAATAATTTCTCTCAACTTGAATGTGTATGCCTAACTGAGATGAATATATTTTGTAAAGAAATTCAGTCTAACCTAAGCATATACAAGAAAAAGTATTGGATTTATGCAAACTTATTATCTATCACAAACTGTCGAGAAGCTTGGGGAAATTTGTAATTTTACAAATTGTAAACTTCTATCTATTCAAGAATGGAAAAGATTTACAGTACTGTAGTACAAAAATATAATGTGATTCAAATGGAAAGAAATGATAATGTATATAATTCATGAATAAAATCTACCTGACATTGGTAAAGATGTCATGAATTTTATTGATATGAAATACCAAAGCTGCACCATAGCTTCCAAAGAAACTAACATAATTCCCTCGTATCATAACACCATCAAAAGAAATAATGGAATACAAATTTTGTATTTGTATGGGTTAATAAATTTTGAAGAGTGGGCTTTATTGTGAAGAAAGCAATAGTATAAGTGCTACCTCAATAAATAGGAAATTAAAATAACAAAGTATTTTTGTCTGAAATGCTGTGCATAAACAATTACTTTACCCCATTATGTAACCAATTGAACTTGTTCTATGTAATATTACGATGATGATAATTTATTTAGGCAAAAGTAAACATACATAGGAGACAAAAAACAGTGGACGATTACCATTGGCAGAAGATGAAGCAGTACAACATCTAAGCCCACTAATACGCAGAGAGTTTAAGGGATATTGTCTATTGTTGTTGCTATTATTATTATTATTATATAATACAGTACTGAACTTATGAGATGCTTCAGGAGCTCATGACTTACTTTTTACAACTTTCACAGATGGACGCTATGAATCCTATTGCATTTTGGACCGTAGCTGTTACCTCTTGTATAACTTGTAATCTCTCTTTTAAGGTCTTTTTCTCTTCCTGAAAATACAACATTTATAAACATGCAAGTAATTTATTGGCAATAATTAGACCTAATTTAATATTTTACATGGTGCACAATAATTATATCATGTACTGGCCATTATATGCGATGGTGTACATACAGTAGTGCAAATGTGAAACTCAACAAAACTCATAAGCAGTGACAACATACAACTGTTTAAAATTCAGAGAACAGTATATGTGCTCTTTTTCATGATAAATGTATGCCAACAATATGTGTACAAATGAATAAACAATCTTCTTAAGCTATAAATTTACACCAAAAATCAGGCTGAGTGTACAGTATTTGAAATACTCTTCGGTGCAATACACAAAATAGTTTCCCAAATACCAGCAAAGACCTGTTGATTTCCTGGACAACATCATGTACTGTAAGGCCAGGTCAAAAATTCACACAGGAGCAGCTGGGATCATATCAAATGTTCCATGCAGGTCATACTGATACCTGAATTTACCTGAGGGCCACTATCTCCCTAGTGGCCTTGAAGGGGACAGGAGACAATGGCTTGTTAAAACATCCCTCCTTTCTATCTTTCTATCCTCCTTTCTAGAAAGAGGATTTCTTTCTATCTAGATTTTAAACGGATGTCAAGGCACTCAGAGCTTTGACAGGTAGGTGGTTACATGGGATCATAACCCTATGGGACACATTCTAAACATATCTAAAAAAGTTTCAAAAACTGTGGGCATTCTTTCTAAGATCAGATATTATGTACCACGCCCTGCCCTGGTGACTCTCTATTACTCCCTTATCTATCCATATCTCAACTATGGTATTTGTGCTTGGGGCTCTACTACCCAAAATCATTTACGTCCTCTAATTACTCAACACAAAGCTGCTATTAGGACAATATCCAATTCTGGCCCCAGACATCACTCGGTACCCCTATTCAAATCCCTGAATATGTTAGACATTAAGTCACTGCACATTCTCTCATGTGTACTATACATATACAAAACGCTAAATTGTAATGCCAATCCTGATCTCAAAAGCTTCATAGAAGGTTGTAACAGAACCCATGAGCATCACACCAGAAATAAATACAGTTTTGATATTCCTAGAGTACGACTTAATCAAACCAGAAATGCTCTACAAATCAAGGGACCCAGAATGTGGAATGACCTTCCCAACCATGTTAAAGACTGTACCTCTCTCAACCAGTTTAAGATAAAAACTAAACACTACCTAATAAATTCCCTGTAACCTACCTCACTCCTCTATTGTCAACCCATGTCCGTTATTTTCTTTTTTTTTTAATCAACACTGTTTGTCAACCTATTGTATTTGTGCTGCTTTTTCAGTCATGTTCCCCCTTTTTTTATCTTTTTGTATTTGTTCTCAACACTTTTTATTCTTTATGCTCAATTAGTATTAAGTTCTAGATATTAATGTTTTTCTTGCCCGAAACGCATTGCGTAATAGTGGCTTTAGGCATCGTATGTACTAGCTCTATCTATATATCAATCCATTAATGTAACATCACTTGTATGTATATACCTTACCTGAATAAACATCTGAATCTGAATCTGAATCTGAATCTATGGGGTAAAAAAAACACCTGCTGTCTGTCCTACGTTGTGGCTTGTTGAGGCTTGCAGATATGTCAGCTATGGCTGATAGGTCAGTAGCTTTCTGTTGAGTTCCTTCTGCCTTTTATAAAGCCCAATTTGTGTTCAAGTGTAAGTTTAAAGGGCATCACTGGCACAACACTCTCAAGTGACACAGCAACTGAACGTATCTTGAATATTTGTGCCCAACACAGACGTCGTATCCAGGAACTAACTTTCAAGGTTCTGCAGGTATATTGTAATGAATAACTCATATCAAGTTGGTGCACAACCAAACAAGACTGGAAAGAACTGCACAATAAGTACAAAGAAGTCTCACCTAAGAGTTTATGCCCACTGCACAATGAAAGAAAAGTTTCTATGGAAACACATCATTTAACCGAGATGTCGTTTATTATTTAACAGATTAACGATTTAATCATTTAACAGGGATGTTTGTCTCCACCTGCCTCAACTGCATAGAGAACCAATCAGAAAGAATGTGAGGCAGCCCAAGTCGGGAAACCCTGTTTACATGTCTTATGTGGCCACCTGGTGATGCTATCGTATAGCAGCAGGTGGGCTAACTGGCCATTACTAACAGTGTTACTTGCTGGTCCTTGTGATATCAAGAAGTGCTTTAGAAGGATTTTAGAAATTTATATAGAATTTTGATCCTCGAGATTACAAAATGTTGTCCAGGTCAGCAGCAGAACTTTGCTTATGAAAGCAACCAAATGGTGTAACTCTAAAATGTATTAAACAAAATTTTGATGTTGATATGAACAAGAGAATGGCTATATCCATCCTAGAAGTAATTAAATTAAACATATCAATTTAAATATACACACAATGACTTCATTTTGCATAAATAACTACAACTTAATTTATTATCTATTTATTCTGTCATTTGTGCTTTAATTCTGTATAGTTATCTTTATTTTTGTATAGCAATTCATTCATTACGTATTAACCAAATTTTTTTGTGCATACATTATTGGACTCTTGATATAACCTCCATATTTACTCTTATACTATTGCTACCCTCCTCCACCCACCATGCCAAAGACACTGAACATTAATTAATGGTAATCACATGGCTGCTTGACAATTACTGTACAAAGCTTGTTTTCAGTCTTTAACTATGAGCAACACTTTGTTTCTTCTCTGAACTATTGTCAGTTCACAAACTATATTATTCTATCTCCTTCCTTTCCTGCTTGATTGCCTCAGTTACAAATTCTTCTTCACTGACTTGCTCTTTGCCTTCACTTACTCTCAATTGTGCCTTCCCTCTTTTGCTCTCTCACTTGTCCTTCACCTTCAATCTCTCATTCCCCTTTACCCCTCACTCTTTCTTTCTCATTTGTATGTTTCCTTCATTCATGTGATACCATTATTACCCATTTTTATTGTCTTTTTACAGATTTAATTTCTTCGTGCTAGTCTCCTCCCTCCTATCATAATATATTCTTCTTCCTAACTATAACTTTTCCTTTCTCCCATAATTTTCTCACCTACTTCTGGTCATTCTGATCCTTCTTCAGTATTTATAACGTAAATAATATACTGTACATTCTCACAAAGAATCACATCAACGTCATGTATCAGTGAGAAAATCAACTAGAATCATGCAGGGGATTTGATAACTGGATTATCATGCAGGGCAATTGGGAATATCCAATATGGGTACTCCCAATTGCACGCCTTAAACCAGTGAACCAAGATAAGCTTAAAGTAATGATTCTATATGTATAATAATATAAGTAATCATGTATAATATATAATCATACAATATCACATAGTAATTATATAAATAATACAAGTAATAATGTCCCCTAAGATTCTACTGAATCTACTAGGAATCTTGGGGCAACAAACCGATACTAAATAGAGTTTTTACGCATTACCCTCTAAAACACTAGTGTGGTATAGGAGTGCTTTCATCGGTGCTCCCTTTCAATGCACAAAGAAAACACATTTAGCGTGATGTATCAATGAGAAAATCAATTGGAGCCATGCAGGAGATGCGTTCTCTCTGGTTACATTATAGCGTGTCGTAATTCAGTGGTTTAACCCTTACACTGCTCAGGGGTCATATGGACATTTACACCCCTGTGCGCAAGAAAAAAAAAAATTCAAAAAATTTTTTCGTCTTCTAAACATGTTAATTTGTGTCCCCTGAGCACGGAAAAAATAAAAAAAAAATCGTAGGTGACATATTTTGGGCGCAATTGACCGAGGAAGTCTGGCAAAAAGTGGGCGTTGACAGAGCGGTCGTCAGACCCGGTCAGCGTCACCCGCGTTGACAGATGGGAGTTGCCACAAAGATATTATTACCTAATTGTTTCAATGTCTCCGATTGATTTTTTCTTAGTTTTTTTGCAGTAATATTATTCAATAGTGTGTATTGTAATATATTTATATAATAAAAGTGGTTAATAATCGCTATACTCAAAAGTATGATGTGCGTATTAGTGATTCAATTATTATGTTTATAAAACAATAAACAAATAGTTTTGCTGCTATTACACTCTATACACAGGTTATATATAAGTATTGGCATGTTTTGGTCACCATAACGAACCACTAAGTTTGTATTGAGAGTCGAAAAGCAACGAGGAGTTACCGCCACACACCAGCCAGCCACTCACTGCCACTCCCTCAACACACGCACTAAACTTTCTCCCCCAACAATACCAGTTGTGGTGTTATTACACTATATACAGACGTTATATATAAGTATGAGTATATTTTGTTCACCACAACTGTACAGCTAAGCTGATATAGTTAGTTCAGGCACTAAGAGTCGTCGCTATACACAGATGGCGGCTGGCGGCTCCCTCACTCTTTCAAGGTCACACGCACTAAACTTTCTCCCCCAACAATACCAGTTGTGGTGTTATTACACTATATACAGACGTTATATATAAATATCTACATGTTTTATGCACCATAACTGTACACCTAAGCTTGTAGAGCGCCCAAAGAGCATAGTGGCCACCCTCTAAACAGCTAGAGAAATCGTGCAGACGACGTCACCTCCGTCACCCATATGGCTCCTCCCAGCATAATCCTTTTGCTGTTATTACACTAATACACACATTATATATAAGTATCTACATTTGTGTTCACCATAGAGAACCACTGACCTGGTATGGTGAACGCAAACAATAACAGGTGGCCACACAGTCAGTAAACGATGCTGTCTCCCTCCGTCTCTCAGCATCACTCCTCACACAGCGCTAATTATTACAACAATCCTGCTATTATCACAACCCTGGTTATTTATATCACAGTCATTGGTCATCTGTAATATTGTCATCGCTAAATAATAACAATTATATATTTATTTTGACATTTTTCGGCGATGCTGTGGGCACAAGCTGAACATCAATGCTGTTCGCTCATGCTGCGTGCGCCGGCCTTGGTTGCTCCAACAGTACTGCTTCTCTCACACCTGCGAATATTGCCCACGATTTTTTTTAAAAATGGCATCTGTTTACAAGAGCCCTGAGGAAGCTACTGTGAACCCCGTGTAGCCGCGGGCCATTTGAATCAGGCCTGGCACCCTATGGCGTATATATACGCCATGCGCACCATGGGACATGTTACTCAGGGCGTATATATACGCCATGCGCAGTTTAAGGGTTAAGGTGTGCGCTTGGGAGTGCCCATGTTGCTGGTTTGAATCCTCCTACATGGCTTCAAATGATTTTCTTACTGTACATTAAAATTCAAATTTAAATGTCAACAAAGCACAGTACTGTGAAAACTCAAGATGCATATACAGTACAGCTTTAACACATATTTCTACAATTAATGAAAAAGTTAAAAATAAATATTAAAAACATTAATTTCAATTAAAATTGCAATACAAATTCCATATATTATTGCAAAAAATTTATAAATAATGCTATGAAGAGTAAACTGACTGTGTCATACAAAACAGTAGTGTGTAGCACAGTAATATTAAGAAACACGCAAGTAATGAAATCTATCAGTTTGAGGAGAAGCACAGTCTGTGTTACCACACTAACTTCCAAAAGTACAGTCGTACTGTGTGAGTCTACAGTACTACGCACTAAAAAAAATCATGCTGATGATAGAGTCTTGAGAATAGTGACTTACAAGTTAGAGATAAATTTAGCAAGATTATCTGTTTAATCTGCCCAGGCAAATCTGGGCAAACTACATTAGTGTAACGATGAATCAACACTTATAGCGTTGATTAAATGTTACTTGAGCATATTTTGACTGCTAGAATTCTTCATTATCAAGAGCAACCGCTGAAACTATTCTTTGACTATAAATAACAACTTACCACTTGTTAACACTAAAGGTATTCCGCGTGTTTCTAAGATATTCTTCAACTACAAAATTTTATCCACACAAGCCTCCTTACACCACAAGCACCAATCACCAGCCTGTCAAGCACAATCTGAAGCCCCCAAAGAGTACTGACAACGAGGCTTCTATACCTCACCTTCTCTTTGGGGTTAGTAGGGGATGCATTAACTCCACCAGAACCCTCCATTTGAGTTTTTCTTTTCCTTACCTCTGGATTCCCACTCTGGAATTACAGCCCAGCAAATATGAAAAAGGGAAAGTGATCAATCATGCTATGGAATACAACAATACAGAGTCAAAATTATTTATGAACAAACTAAATAGAATCTGATTATCCAATGCACAGTAAAATAATGATAATAAAAAAAATCTAGTAAAAGTAGCTTATACAACACTATGATCTGTATCCATCATTAACAAACCTGACCACATTGACCAGACCACACACTAGAAAGTGACGGAACGACGATGTTTCGGTCCGTCCTGGACCATTCTCAAGTCGAGTGTGAGACTTGACCGAAACGTCGTTGTCCCTTCACTTTCCAGTGTGTGGTCTGGTCAACATACTTCAGCCACGCATGAGTCACAAGGCTGTGACTCATACGTCAGGCTGCGAGCAGCCGCGTCCAACAGCCTGGTTGATCAGTCCGGCAACCAGGAGGCCTGGTCGATGACCGGGCCGCGGGGACGCTAAGCCCCGGAAGCACCTCAAGGTAACCTCAAGGTAACGTTATTGTGACTCATCGCCTGCAAAGCTGACCACACCTAAAGATATGCTCTTTACATTGTATATGAACCCTTTCATCCCATAAAATCCATTTTGTGATATTAAATATCACAAAATGATCTCTTATTAGTTCCTAAAATATTATCTAGATTATCTGACAGATGAGTACATATATTGCTCGAACTGTTTGGTGCAGTAGTGGCTTCATTTGTTGTACAACCCCTGTACCGTCAAGTGCACCTCTGGCTTACGTTCTTTGTATGCGTATTATTATGAATAAAGTATTATCATTATTATAATTATTACTATCATTAAAGGTGAAGGAAAGACCCATATCTATAAGTGTATTAAAAGTAAAATATTTGTATGAAACCTACATTATAGCTCTGTATACAATGTTCAGAACATTGTATACAGTACCTTGAGAAAGGATGCAGGTTACATTCAAAATAATTAGTTTTTTAATACACATATATTGGGTCTTTCCTTCACCTTCATTCAAGTACTTTGGCATTGTAGTAAGTTTCTCCATTATTATTATTATATACAGTGCACTTTTAGTTTCCTAAAAATTTATCTCACATTTTTATAATACAGTAATACTGTAGCAATCTCACTCATAACAAACTAGTTCTTTTCCATCCTGCCTGAAATGCTGAGGGGTAATTAGTGGCATTATAAAACAATACAAACACTGTACTCACTAAGAAATCACAGTACTGTACTGTAATCAGAGCCTTTATATTTCCTATTAATAAAATATTATTATTACTGTATTATTATTATTATTACAGCATCTGCCTTTATTTCCCTCATTCACTTGCCATCATTTTTGCACACTAAGTCGCAGAAGGCTTCATTTCTAATTCGTTTAAAATTTATTCTAAAATCAGATTACAAAATTGATTTACTTAAACCTAAATACAGTACAGGCTTTCTTTCTCCCCCGCTTCCCCAGCAATGTGAAGCTACGACATCCTTCAAACAATATAGTACAGTGCTGCACCTGATATTTTGGATAATCATGATTCTAAATAGGAAGGTTCCTGATAACTGTAACAGTATATTGGTGTAATTTCACATACCGAAAGGCTAGAAGCAATAACACGCTTTACCAAAAAAATCAAAGAAAAGACACAAAACAGGCACCCAATAACATTTACCAAATTAAATTGCCACAGTGTGAATGTCTTACATTAAAAACTAACAGCACAATGCACTTAAAAAAATATTATTTTATGGACCTATTATAACCTAAAATAAAATTATAACCCCAGTGGATAATACAAATAATAAGTATTACACAAACGATTCGTAACTACTGACATGAACAACACACACATTACAAACCATTTTAATACAGTACTGTATATAATTTCAGAAAAAAAAGAAAACACAAATATATAGAGAAGCAAGGAAAGCAAATTATTCTTCGACATACTACTCCAATTTTCACTGATAAACTATAGTGGCTTTAAACTAAATAAAAACTACATAAGCTACATGAAAAGCTTATGAAAAATGTGTTCTTTATTGTGTATAAATGCATAATAATTTTACCTTGTCCTTGTCATCATCATCGACTTCATCATCTTCTGTAGATAAGTCATTGTCCTCTTCTCGGTGCATCATAGTGCCAACTATTGAGAGTATCTGAGAATTTAAAATATTTTAACCTTTATTGAAAACTGAAAAAAAATGGGTGCCAAATACCAGGTTCTTTCAAAATGGCAAACAAAAACACTTTTTATATGACTTTGCTAAAGTAGAAATTTACATAAATCAAAAATAAAAACACCAGCTTTGAATGTAATAAAATGCCTCTTTTTGGTAGGGTCTCAGTAGTTCCTTGAAGCTAAATCACTATTGTGCTACTTAGACTTACATAACCCTATTCCTAAATTATAATCCTGTTTTGATACTTCCTTGACAGATATAACAGAACCTATGAGCATCAAACATACCTGAAATATATATATCTTTGATATTCCCAGAACTAGACTAAATCTATGCAAACATGCCACTCAAATAAAAGGTGCCCAATATCTGGAACTCACTCCCTAATGGATTAGAAAACTTGTCCAACCTATATTTTATTCTAAATTAAAACTATGAAGTACCTAATTTCATGTTCATAATACTGTACCTTGTGCTATCAACTCTGACAGTATATTACAGTGTATTACAATATTACAACTTCATCCTTATTATTTTATTTCTTAATACTGATATTTGTTATCATATGAATTAAAATTCTGTTACAATGTACCTAAAATTATGCGTATTTGTTAGCTTAAGGACCTACCTGAATTAATTCCCTGTGACGGGGAATAGGAAGACAGAGTGTATGAATACACATTTGGCTTTTATTGTGGTCCCCCCCCCCAAGGCCGAATTACTGACCCCGCCCAGGATGCAACTCCACAACAAGCTGACTACCTCCTAAGTACCTACTCACTGCTAGGTGAATGAAGGCATTAGGTGAAAGGAAATGTACCCAACCATTTCTGTTTTGCCCGGAATTTGAACCTTCAATTCTCGATTGTGCGTCGAGAACGAACCCAACTGCACTACCGGGACCCTCAAATGCTATGTGTGCTAGTGACCTTGCAAGAATATACTAAAGTACTCACTTATCTGCATATGTGCCCCCTTAATAATCCATTGTATCTTCTTGTATATGAATGAATAACTAAATAAATAACTACAAAATGACACACAAGCAAATGGGCTCCCGCAGGAGAGATGCCAAAGGATGGTCAACATTTCTCTAGAAAATCTAGGCTCTAAAGAGCCAGTGACTTACAGAGCTATCAGACAAGTCTGGCATCGGGTGAAAGACTAAAGGCTGTTGACATGGAGAGCTTGCAGCTTCTATAGTGTTGCCACCTAGAGGTGGAAAGCTGTAACTAGGGGAGGGATGACCTAACGACTGGGTGGATTGTCTACAGAGTCATTTGATGCATTGTTTGTTTACTTTCTGTGAACTTTGCAGTTATCCATTTTGCTTTGCTTCTTGCACCTCAGTGAGGGAGGGGCCAGGTTTGGCCTCTGGTCTCTGGTAGTGTTTTAAAGACTAGCTACAGGGAGCTGCTGTTCGGCCCTTCCAGAAATACGCAGTGAATGCTGTAACGTAGCAGTGATAAGATTATTTAATAGTGTATAAAGCTACAATTAAATAAGCTCTAACAAATAGATAACAAAAATAATATTACATAAATAAGAAATGGTTTATGTCTTTGGAAATACATATATATATAAAGACTATGCTGATATATGAAATGTTGAAAAAGTCTATTATAAATAATAAGCATACTGTATTTTGGTGCAAGTAAATGCCAATTATTTCCTTAAGACAAAACATCTTATTATATTACATTAATTCTTATATTGTATCTTGAAAATCACAGAATGCTTTTCAAAATTATTTTAATTTTATGACAAGTATAATGTTTGAAAATAAATATTCATTCACCTGATACCTACAATGTAATTTCGGAGATACAAGATTAGCAGGATGATGGGAATCATGTAGGGTTCAAAACAATATGTTCCAACCATGAACACAATGAAGGCTACAGTGCTTCTTACTGGATATTCCCACTCAAAGCAAGATCTGTAATAACAATGACAAAATATCGGTGTAAGACAAAATACAAAACACATACGACAGTGTGACCACGTGTTCAACTGCATGAGGAGAAACTAGGAGTAAAAGCTCATGCAGTTCAAAAAATGTGCTAATGAGAATATGACTGTGGCAATTAGCTGAAGTAATAGGTGTTAACTGGATGCCAAACGACACAATAAACGAGTTTAAGCACTTAGTTTCAAACTAAGTTCAAAATAGTATACTCATACATTATGCATGACTGCATTTAACAGTCTCCGTGGTGTAGTGGTAAGACACTCGCCTGGCGTTCCGCAAGCGCTATGTCATGGGTTCGTATCCTGGCCGGGGAGGATTTACTGGGCGCAATTCCTTAACTGTAGCCTCTGTTTAACGCAACAGTAAAATGTGTACTTGGATGAAAAAACGATTCTTCGCGGCAGAGGATCGTATTCCAGGGACCTGCCCGAAACGCTACGCGTACTAGTGGCTCTACAAGAATGTAACAACTCTTGTATATATCTCTACTCACAGCTATTTTCTTAGGTTGAACCTTAAAAAAAAGAAAAAAAAAAAAGCCAAAAAAGAAAAAAAAAAAAAAAAAAAAAAAAAAACGCGCCAAAAAAAAAAAAAAAAAAAAAAAAAAAAAAAAAAAAAAAAATTATATCATGCTCTCTAATTCATTTTGCCTCTGAAACTTATTAATTTTGTAATTGACCAATATAACCAATACTGCTTTATATTTCCCATTTTTATTCAGTACACATGCTGTCGTTAACTTTATATGTTTACTATATTCAGTACAGTACTTGTATAAACTTCATTATCCCTACCATTTCATAGTAATAGCTGTACCATAGCTAAAACCATACTGTACCATTACCATTTCATAGTAATAGCTGTTTTTATGGAATAAATATCCTCAGAAATAATGACAAGGACCTTTGACTACCTGCCAGCTTCCCGTCCTTGTTGAGGCCACTAGAGCTGGTGGCCATCAGGTAAATTTAGGTAATTTCTATATACAGTATTTTATTTGTTATATCATTGCATAAATATGATCCAACTGCTATTAGGAAAACAATGGTTTATGGCATTAAAATGTTGTAGTTGTGATTTATTTCAGTAATTTTTGAATAATGTGACCAGTAAAAATTGGGTGGGGGTCTTAGAGTAATTATGTCTTAACATTATTTTTTAGTAATTTAAAGGCATTTTTGTGACGTTTCAAGAATGTTTCAATCAATCGCCAAAATTTGTCGGTACAAGAAGCACTGAAGCATTCTCAAGATATCGAATGGAAGCTTGGAAGATGGGAACTATGATAAGAATGTAACTATGACAAAACTATAAGGTTCATTACTGATATTATTTAAATATAATGATAATTACTTACTGTTGTTCTGTTGCAAGATTTGCAGTTCCACTTACAAATAAAATTTTTAAATTATTTTCAAATTCTCTTCTTCAATTTACATATATTTCTTATCTCATTTAGTTTTAAGAGTTACCCATTAAGCTTGTATATTGTTAACCAAAGTTTTTTCTGTTGCATAACTTTTTTCAAAGTTAACCAAAGCCAGTATTAGTGGCTTTAGGCATTGAACTTGTTTTACTTAGGAATCCTCCACTGTTCCTGTACCTTTTGTATGTATGTATGTATGTATGTATGTATGTATGTATGTATGTATGTATGTATGTATGTATGTATGTATGTATGTATGTAACTGTATGTATGTTTTCAATTGCATATATGCCTGGAGACTGTTCAGGCTTGTTCACATGTATGTATGTGTGTATGTATGTACTTTTGCATAAATAAATTATTAATATTGTTATTATTATAATTATTATACTCACTTGACAAACATTCCCATTTCATAGACATCCATGATACATGCTTTTAGGCGGTTCACATTAGTAACGAACACCTGACGTTTAAATTTCTGTTCCATCTGCATGTATTTTTCTTCTTTTGGTGTAAACGTTCTTATGGCCGCTCGTATCTAGGTGTAGGAAGACGATACATAAATGTAACAGCTACTGAACCTTTAGCGAATCAATCAATTAAGAATTTAATTAATCAAGTAAACAATCAAATAATCCAGCAATCAATCAATAAAAAATTAAACCATTCAAACACTTAATCAATCTTTGTAAAATATATATATATACAGTGGTTAAAGTTACAATTAACTTGCAGAGATAAAGTGTAATACAGTACATATTTACCAAGCTCCTAATTACTGTAGACACATTATTTTGGACACGTCTTAAGGTTCACAAAATAATTATGCTGTATTTTAAATAAAATATTTTCTGAGTACTGTAATTACAAAATTTTTACTTTTAAAAAATTTTAAAATTTTATTTTAAAATTACTAGTGGCTTTAGGTACTGCATGTACTACCTCTATCTTTAAATCAATCAGACTGTTTGTACTGTAACTCTGCAACTATGTATGTACTTTCCTAAATAAATTATTATTATTATTATTATTTATATAGCTAAAAAACAATAAAGCTTCAGAAAATATAGTACAGTATCATACTTAAAACTAGTGGGTATTATTTAGCACGATGGTGGGAAAACAATGCCTTTATGTAGCTAATAATATAGTAGTTGAATTAATATGAGAGAAAGGTAGTGGTAATGTTGTTGTTGTTGTTATAGATTCAGCCACTCGTTCCGAGTAGCACGGGCTGTGGTGAGCCCGTAGTGGACTTACCTGGCACAGGAGCGGGGCAAGTAGCACGGGCTATGGTGAGCCCGTAGTGGACTTACCTGGCACAGGAGCGGGGCAAGTAGCACGGGCTATGGTGAGCCCGTAGTGGACTTACCTGGCACAGGAGCGGGGCAAGTAGCACGGGCTATGGTGAGCCCGTAGTGGACTTACCTGGCACAGGAGCGGGGCAAGTAGCACGGGCTATGGTGAGCCCGTAGTGGACTTACCTGGCACAGGAGCGGGGCAAGTAGCACGGGCTATGGTGAGCCCGTAGTGGACTTACCTGGCACAGGAGCGGGGCAAGTAGCACGGGCTGTGGTGAGCCCGTAGTGGACTTACCTGGCACAGGAGCGGGGCAAGTAGCACGGGCTGTGGTGAGCCCGTAGTGGACTTACCTGGCACAGGAGCGGGGCAAGTAGCACGGGCTGTGGTGAGCCCGTAGTGGACTTACCTGGCACAGGAGCGGTGCTGAATGTGTGCCAGTGGTAATGAGAAATGATACTAGAGATGATGTTGCCATTGTAATATAAAAGATGAATTTCCAGTGCATGGTTATACAGAATACTGATAAGCAGTAATCTTGATGTGCCAAAAATATATATGCAAGTATTGTACAATATAGTTGATGTTTACTGTAGTTTACATTTAATTTATAGAGAGTTATAGGAGTCACAAGGTAGATGTAATTTAGTAATTACTGTAGTGATTATAAGAACAGAGAGGATTCATATTTAAATTTTACATTCATATTTTTTTACGTATTTTATTCGTAATTTTTACACTCTTGACTTCCTTTCCCTGGGAACAATGAATTAATATTAATATTATTCAATATTTAATCAACGATATTACAGTATATACAGTACATTTTGTTTGAGTGAATATAATTTTTATGATTGTAATGGCTGACTTTGGATGAATAATGATGTATTTCAGGTTATTAGAGGTGACTGAACTTAATGTACAGAAACCACAAGTGAGCTAGTGGTAGATAAGTAATAAATAATAAATAAATAAATGTTTATTTAGGTAAGGTACATACATAAAGAGATTTTACAAAGTTTGTTGGGTTAACAGATAGAGCTAGTACATACAATGCCTAAAGCCACTATTACGCAAAGCGTTTCGGGCAAGTGAGTGATAATGAGATGAGGTGGGAACATAAGATCAGATTTTGTATAATATTCAAATTGTTTGAGATACTAAAATTATCTAGTAATGTGTGTGCATGTGAGTTTCCCAGTGTTAAAAATAGGAAACCTATAAGGCTTATCAAGACCTTCCTAGCCAAAGGCCTTTATAAAGACTGGCCATCCTCTGTGGATGGAGAGATGCAGTAATAATCATCCCATAACTAAGTCAACTCTCATACCAGGAAGCGTTGAGGGGCCATATCACTAAGAACACTACACTGTTAATCTCATTTGAGATTAACTAAATTAATCCGCCTCTCTGAGGGGTCAAGTTGTAGCTCGTGGTCCCCGGTAGGCCTAGAACTGCATGTCCATTGACTGATGCCCAAAGCTTATACATCCGTATCAGCCGGATAGCTCCAGGAAGCCGAAGGGGGCTGCCCCCAAAAATGAAGCACTTACTTAAACAGTTTTGAGAATCATGGGTGCAAAGTAATTGTTTATAAATGATTTATTGTAGAAATCATTAAACAAATTGGACAAGATATTCCTGAGATGTTTGTTCACTATGCACACACAAACCAAGCACACAAAAGCTTCCACACAGAAACTTAACATGTAAATACACACAAATAAAAAATCGAGATAGTGACCCTAAAGTAAATATATAAACACAAAATATATATAATAATATATATATATATATATGTGTATGTGAGTATACTCACTGGATTCCACTCCACGGAACATTCTAAAAGAATCTCTGGATTATTCCCTTTAGCTCTAGCTCGCAGTTTCTTATCCTTTAGGGCATACCTGGAAATATCATTGAATTAGCCATGCAGAATTAATAATAATAATAATAATAATAATGATAATGATAATAATAATCATAGTACCGTGATATATCATTGAGAAACTCCACTAGGGTTGTGAGGTGGGAAGAGTAGGCAACTGGCAATGCCGGGGTCATAGGTTCGCGTCCACCTCATGACCCTAGTGGATTTTCTCAATAATAATAATATCTCAAAAATGGTGGCACTGTAAAACATGATGTACCCATGCATCTTCTCTCATTCATTTATCATATAGAAGGTTGTACCATAACTCTTGGGCACCAACCAAGAAACAAGTACTGTACTGTATACTGTATACAGTAAATCTCTTTATTTTAGGAATCCTTATTTATTTATCAATGCAGAAGTATAATGGAAATTAAGGGACCCAGGATATAGAACAGCCTTCCAAATTATACAAGATGTAGTATCTCATTTAAATTATTTAAAATAATTAGCTGAGAATAAAAAATACCTAATTACCACATCATAATATATAACAGTGCATCAACCCCCCAACCGAATGAAAACTGCATAGATTAAGACAGTTTCAGAGAATGTCAGAAATGCATATGTCTTACGCAATGTTCATGGGTTCTGTTACATCCCTTCAGAAAGAGGCTGAAGCCATGTTTTTTAGCTACACTGATATCTCATTTAAAACTGAGACAAGAATGCAGTCACTGGTTATGAGGTCACCATGCCTCAGGTCATTACCCTAAAGTACCTGGTCCTTCTCAGGTGATCTTTGGGATGTAGTTTTGTCCAATTAAAATCCAAACATTCTCCAAATTATCTGCTTGTTTCTTGTAATTTTTTAATAAGAATTCAACGGAAGAGTGTGTCGGTAAACACAAAAACCGTTTTGAAATATATCTTTCATCAATCATTGAGGGTTAATATTATCTGGTGACTTTCACATGATGAGAAATTTTCCATTCATCTGAAGAAACATTTAATACAATTTATTGAAGTAGAAAACCCATTCTTATATGTATGAAGCAATCTCCAACTGCTACTCACAGAAGGTAAGGATATATATAGCAACAACAACGAAAGCCTCGACAAGAATACAGTAGGATGGAAGGAGAAATGAAATAAGATAAAAATAAGTGGATAAGCAAATAAAGAAAAGCAAAAATCCTTTGTAAGGATACTTAGTGAATTAAATGAAACAAAATGGTAGATGCTCCTTCATATATTACACAATAGCTCCCATGGAAAGGATCATCTTACTGGCACTTACAACCAATCATCTGTGCTGTATTTACTGTAATTCTCAGTCAAGAAGTACAGGTACATATCTAAGAATTCAAGACCTATGATTACAGAAAAGGCAGACAAATTACTACAGTGTCGTGCAAATATTTATTTTTTTGATCATAATAAATATTACCTTAATCATTACAAATATTTCTCTCCAAATGAGACCATAACTACAATAATTATCCACGCAAGAAAATGTCAAGAACATACCAGTTTTAGTGAAGATGTTCAATGCAGGAACTGAAAATGAGTTGAGGAATAATAACAATCACATGTAGAATACTTCGGAAGAACATTGCCAAATTACAGGCCTTTAAGGCACCAAGGGTGGATAGAATCCATTCTAAAATAAAACAATAAAGCATCTGTCGAGACACAGTATGCCATTCGGACCACTACCGTATAGTGTTCGGAGAACTTCTCGGCAACCAAAGCAGGTTTAAGTAGCAGAGCATCAACATTACCCAGTTTGATTCATTAGTTCATGAACATCATTTTCTCAGATTTGCCCAGAGGCATCTGGATCAGTATAGTGTGTCTTGAGACTGAAAATTCTCATTAATAGTAATAAAATAATAATAATAATTGAATAATAATAATACTGTACTGTATCAATAATAATAATTAATTATAATAATTTAAGAATTGAATAGTAATAGTATTTTAATAATAATAATTTAATAATTGAATAATAATAATATTTTATGTATAAAAAGTACATAGGATCAGATTACAGTGGTTACTTAGAAGGTACAGGATTAGTATATTTTACAAAGTGACTAATTATGCACAGTTTTTCAGGCATAATTTAAGATAATGAGAATTTTAAGTTGTACATTTTTGGGTAATGCTTAATACTGTACTTAAGATGTTAGCTAACCCCTTGAGAAATTTTTGAGAGAAGCAATTGTTAGGTTTTGTATTTCACAGAGTACAATCTTGTCATCCCAACGTGTATCTAAAGGAAACAAATGAAGGAAAAAACAGCTTTAGGAACGGTTTAGAGAGTGAGGTTGACACGACCCCAAGAAGTTAAAGAATGATTGTTATGGATGATTCAAATGGTAACCTGGGAACAGGTTGTGATAATTGTGTGTTATGAGTACAATACGTGCCTAGAAAAAATTATATATAGTACGCAAGTAATGTGTTCACAAATGGTGTATACCTACGTACTATATATAATGATGCAGCAAAGACTGAACAGCATAAACAGCACATGAGAAGCAGTCTCCGTGGTGTAGTACCGCAGTCTCCGTGGTGTAGTGGTAAGACACTCGCCTGGCGTTCCGCGAGCGCTATGTCATGGGTTCGTATCCTGACCGGGGAGGATTTACTGGGCGCAATTCCTTAACTGTAGCCTCTGTTTAACGCAACAGTAAAATGTGTACTTGGATGAAAAAACGATTCTTCGCGGCAGGGGATCGTATTCCAGGGACCATAGGATTAAGGACTTGCCCGAAACGCTACGCGTACTAGTGGCTGTACAAGAAAAAAAAAAAAAAAAAAAAAGTATTCAAAAAAAAAAGTGAAACCAATTTGTCACAAGAAAGTGGACTTTTGATATGTTTTATATGACTACTCATGGGAAGCACATAACCTAGGTATATATATATGGCTTTGAGGCACTGTTATGAATAATTAGCTAGTGTGATGATAAAATATCTTACTAAAATATCCGATACACTTTCCTTGAAATACGAGGAAACTGATGTAACACATAAGGCAATAAATATAAGCTTACTGAACCACTTTTCATTAGAGAATACTGGTACAGTAGTTTCTTTTCCCACATTGAGCAATTCAATTGTTTAAGAGTGTCTACTGCAGCAATTGACATAAGGACAGGGTTAAATGTTAAAAAATACAGTAGGGGAACTTGTGTAACTTGGGGGAAAACCTTCACAAGCTTTAAGATCTATGTCCCAGACTAGGAAAAGTTGCTCTCAGGTGTATGATGTATTAAATATTGTTTATTCACAGAGGAAATTAAATTAAATGCACCTGCTATGTGAATGACAATGCATTATTTGGTATTTCAATACATACCATTTTTTCTCACCATTCTTGATCTTCAGTAATGGAATGTTGACTTTCCCTAAGAACTCCACCTTATGGTCTCTATCTTCGTCATAGACAGTCACCTCAAGTATACTATGGATGTCCTTGACATTACTGAAATATGAAGAGAAACCATTCATATTTTTTAAAATTAAGACACGAGAGAACTATGAAAAACCTTAAATGTTTACTGTAAAGCACACTTTACTAACAGTCAATCAAGCTTATAAGATGAAAAGTAACAACACAAAATATATACAGAATGTGTAGAAATAAATTCAATTTACTTACAAGCTAAATATCTTATTCCAGTTAGGTGAGAGTGTCTTATATTCTGTCTGAGTTTGAAGTCTGGCATTAATAAGCTCCAGGACACAAAAGGGATCACTCTTGCCGCCTATGTCAGCCGCAGCTAAGCCCTGAGCCCTGAAGATCTTCACTCTTAAATAACCAATATCTCTAAGATTGTGAAGTGTTCTTGAAAGCTTCTGTTGAAGAAAAGTTATTTTTGTAATCAATTTCAATTCCGTATGCACAATGAAATTAAAGGTAACATTATGTAAACATCATCTAAGTGTCACAATCCTCAGTTTGCTAAGTACCAAGGTTAATTTTTTTAACTACAGTACAACCTCAATTCCATGAAGTATCTGGTATATGAGGAACCTGTCCTCTTAAAAATAACGTCGCTTTTGGCCGTTTGCCCGTATGGCTGAAAGTGGACGTAATTTGAAAATGAAAAACAAATGAAAATAAATTTGGGATTTTTTTTTAACAACAGTAAGTTAAGGGTCCTCTGGTAGGTTAGGTGGGCAGGAAAAACGTTAATGGAAAGTTTCCTCTCCTAACCTTTCCGAGTAGGCCGGACAACTCAAACGGAAAACGGGACAGTACGTCACTTTTGTGAGTCGATTTCATTTAAAATTACGTCCACTTTTGGCCATAGCATGCATACGAGAGAAAAGCGACATTATTTTTAAGAGAACGGGTTGATATGAGACCAACCCCCAATTCATCGCAGTGAGGGATTCCTAGCAATGGGAGATGCATCCAGGGAGCATTTCCCATGACCTATAGGCTAATTTCAATATGCAAAATGTTAATTTCAGCCTATAATATAATATACAACTACTAAATGAACATGTCTGCAAAAAAATTTAACCACATCTAGCTTATTTATCACATCCCCAGACTCAACACTCATTTTAAAAATAGCAGGGCCATACTTGAGCAAATGAAAACGATGCCAACTCAAATTGAAAATAAACCATAGAATTTGGTTTTAAATATCTTCAATAGCTTTCCCAAGGCTCCAACTGTTCCTATAGTAGTGGTGAGTCTATCTACAAAAATCATCAAAACATGACTAGAGCCATATTAAGAGTGTGACCATTCGTACCATAATATTTTGAATATTTCCACAATCTATGCGCTGATTTCATCCAGCAAAAATTTTAATTTCAAGTTGTCATATGAAGGACAACTACCAAGAGAACCTGTTTGTAAAGAGATTAAACTACATCTAGCATATTTCCCATGCCCTATCCTTAAAATCTAACTTTCAAAGGAAAAACTACCCAAATTAGTGAACGAAAACGTGGGGGGGAATCTGAAAATTAAAATGAACATTCTTGCAAAACTACTAATGTGCATTTCATTTTGGGCAAACTTACAAACCTTCAAACTTACATATTTATTATATATATTCTCCAGTTCTTTGGGATTCTCTTGATAGCTATGAAGGTCAGATATAGTTTCTGAGGAGGTTGTGCCTGATATGGTCAGGAGGAGGAATAAAGACCCAGCTCCTTTGTCCAAATCCACCCATATATGATGTGTCTTTTCCCGCTCATACTGTGTTATGTCTAAGCAGCACCTGCAAATATGGTAACTATAAATTTATCTTAAAATTACATAACACCTCAATAAATTACAATAGTCAATTTATCAAATATTAGGCTCAACAAACTATAAAAAAAACTGCGACTGAAGTCAATATCGGTAGAAACTGAATATGTATTTATGAACTCATACTTATTATTCTATCATTTTGGGAAATATCAATCCTGACTTGTACCGAGCCCCCCCCCCAAGGTCCTACTACTGACCCTTCCCAAGATGCAACCCCACAACAGCTGACCAACTCCCGGGTACCTGATTACTGCAAGGTGAACCGATGCATTAGGTGAAAGGAAACATACCCAACCATTTCTGTCGCACCTGCGATTCGAACCCCCCATAAAACTTTCATCGTAAGTACTGTATGAATAGTAATAACTGACAGTGGTAATCAATGGTAATTAAAAATAAAACTTAAATAAAGTAAATACTTGAGAATTAAGTACCAACTTAGTACCGAGATCCAACTTACAGTAATAATCTATACAGTATTTTATAATGTTGATCCACTACAGATCTAAATATAATGTAAGACTTTAAATTCATTGTTATGTCTCCTATCTACTACAAGGTATCTGTTAATATTGGAATTGTAATATTTACTGTTTATTTAATTATTTATTTAAATACAAGAAGGTACATTGACTGTAATTTGTAATATCTTTTTCATTAGTTAAAATTTGTGCCATTTTTATGATATATAATGTATTATTATAATGATCAGTGTAAAATTAATATTATTAACTTTTTTCTTGTACAAATGAATAATGTATGTGAAAATTGTGTATAATATCTGTTGTATAAATTAAAATTTATAACATATAAAAATATGGCAATGACTTTCATGAACTTACTTGCCCATAAAATCGTCTTTACTTCGAACATCTTTATCCCAGACTGTGATCTCCAAGCTGTGACTTTGATCATCAAATAGATGAAAGTCAAACTGCTCCAGCCACTTAGGAGTCAGTGTGTGCAGTTCAATTTTACTCTTGTATTTCTCATTGCCGAGCCTGAAAAATCAAGAATGAAATTTGGATTTATAAATTTGCAATCAAGAAAGTGTTAAAAAAGAAATACATATTACATATGAGAAATTTTGTGAGCTGCATACCTGTTATAATTAATAAAATGTTACACCATATTTCAACACACTCCCTGCACGCATTAGAAATATTACTGGAACAAAGGTGGATGTATTCAAGAGGCAATTAGATAAGTTCTTGCAAGAAGTGGCGGACCAACCAGGCTCTAGTGGATACGTGGGCCACTACAAGCAACAGCCTGATGGACCAAGTTATCACAAGTCGAGCCTGGCCTCAGGCCGGGCTCGGGAATAGAAGAACTCCCAGAACCCTCTGTAGGTATAAACAGACAAAAGAAAGCTGAAGATACTAATGGGCGTTTATGAGCAGGGTGTAACAAGTACACCAAAGAATGTGTAGTAGGTGAGTACTAGTTACCTAAGTGTAGTTACAGGATGAGAGCTATGATATTTACAGTCTCCATGGTGTAGTGGTAAGACACTCGCCTGGCGTTCCGCGAGCGCTATGTCATGGGTTCGTATCCTGGCCGGGGAGGATTTACTGGGCGCAAATCCTTAACTGTAGCCTCTGTTTAACGCAACAGTAAAATGTGTACTTGGTTGTAACAACGATTCTTCGCGGCGGGGATCGTATTCCAGGGACCTGCCCGAAACGCTACGCGTACTAGTGGCTCTACAAGAATGTAACAACTCTTGTATATATCTCAAAAAAAAAAAAAAAAAAAAAAAAATATCATGGTGTCCCAGTACGCTTTGTCATATGACACTTTGAAACTACTGACAGTTTTGGCCTTACCATTCTCCAGAACAAATGCTCTAATTTTTTTTGGGGGCAGCTTGTTACCTTTGTTTGAATTTATAACCTCTTATTCTTGAAGTTGCAGTTTTCAAGAATCTTTCTTTGTTAATTGTGGTGATTCCTGTTACTGTTTTGTATATAGTGGTCATATCGCCTCTCTTCTATTTTCGACTTTTGATATATTTAACACCTCTAGCCTCTCCTCGTAGCTCTTGTTTTTCAGCTTCAATAGCCATTTAGTTGCATGTCTTTGCACTTGTTCCAATTTGTTGATGTACTTCTTGAGATATGGATTACAACTGCTGAATATTTGAGGTTTGGTTTCACAAATGTCATGAATAATTTCTATATTTCGCTATCTATATATATTAAAAACAAAATCTGAAGTTGGAAAGTGTAGCATAGGGTCTTCACACAATGTTCTTATGAGGTCCTTAGGTGACTTTCTTTTTTATCCAGAATCACCCTTAGATCTCTTTCTTTATCAGAGTTCTTTAAAGTCTTTTCACATAATTCGTACGTTGTGTGTAGCCTATATTCCCGTATTCCACAGTCCATTATTTGACATTTACATACACTTATTTTGTCCATGTTATCTAAAAAGGTGACAATCATCTTAGTCTCTTATCTTCGCTAGTAGCTTAGTATCAGCAGCAAACATGCTCATATAGTTCTGTAATCCTTCTGGTAGATCGGTTATATAGACAATGAACATTACTGGTACAGGAACTGAACCCTGTGGTACTCCATTAGTAACACTTCTCCAGTCTGATACGTTGTCTCTGAATACCGTCCTCATCTTTGTGTTAGAATTTCTTTTATCCATGTCAGCAGCATTTCTGTCACCCCCTCTAACATGGTCCGGTCTTCAGAACAACTTCTTGTGTGGGATTCTGCCAAAAGCATCTTTTTTTTTAAGGTCAGATAAATAGTGTACAGTCAACCCATCCATCTCTTTCCTGTAAAATCTCTGAGGATCTGTCATAAAAAACTAGGTAGATTTGTTAAGAACATAAGGTGAAGTACTAAAGAAAATGTCATGGTAGATTGGAAGCAAGGGGTAATTAACTTTTAAAAATTCATGCGAATTGTAGGAGCAGATATTTCTTAAAGAGAGGAGGGGAATGCAATGTGTCGAATCCTGTCCAAGTCATGTTGAGCACCTACCCTACAACAACTCTCCCCAAAAAATTGGCGAGGCTAGCCTCAAGCATCTGGTCTACAACCTTGCAGACAGGCATTTCTATATATATATATATATACAGTACATTTAAAGATTGATTGATTTGATTAATGTAGATTTTGGTAATTATCATATCAAGTGTATATATTGTATATATTACCTACAGTATATATATTATCTAGGGTGTGTGTGTGTGTATATATATATAAACCACGAATATATAGTGTATTCCTGGTTTATATTTCTGAAAAAAGTGGGAGATTTTCTGTATGGAAGGAAATAAGCGACTATCGGCTTGCGTGGGGCTACGCCCACGTGCGGCCGCTGATAAAAAAGGGGCCATCAGCACGGGTCAAGACCCCATTTCCGCCAGCAGCTGTCGCCAGCATTCATATCATGCAAATATTGTTAGAATGTAACAACTCTTATGTATAAATAATTAAAAAAAATATATATTTATAAGGAAACTGAACTAGGGGGGGCTTTTTGTTTTCATTAACTTTATACTGAAAGAGAGAAAATAACAAAATAGAAAGACTACATAATATATTACTAACCGAAACTTAACGTATGGATCAGAAGTGCCATCGGGATCCATTGGTAGGAGATTTTTACCCTCCACGAGCACAATGGTTATGACAGAGCTCCATATCTGACTCTTCAGTCTCCTCTGCTGCTCTGCCAAACGGGACCCGCCACGTTGAAGGTACTGAGGAAACAAAGCCATTTCCTTGACAATAATGGTTTGTAAAGTCAACTTCTACACGTTTTATAATGCAATAATAATATAAACTATGCGGTTTCTTTGAATGGTTATTAATATCTTCAGTTCTTTACTGCAACAATTTGAATTTAAATATTATGACTGGTATGAAAAGTCTAGCTTTTTACTGTTGATTAATCAAAATGTCTGTTTTATTAGTTTTTACTTTTGGTCAATGTTAAATGTCATTACTTTATTTAAATGTTTGCAAGATGTCGACTTGTGTGAGAGAATGTTTAGTTGAAAAAGTGGATTTCCCGGCCGCGTGTTTCCTGTAGCAACCGTCACCACCCCAAGAGGGGAGCCGTATTTAACCGGCAGAGGGGAAGGTGTAATGACAAGTTACAGCCCCGCTCCTGTGCCAAGTAAGTCCACTACGGGCTCACCATAGCCCGTGCTACTTGAAACTTTTTGTTCTTAGTAGCTGAATCTAAAACAACAGGTGTGATGGGTGCCTTCGTGAGGTTTCCAACCCCCATTGCTGAGACGTCTGTCTCAGTTTTCTCCTTGTCCTTTGAGAACGGTACAATTACGTGGTTAGTGGTTTAATTAATATTATGTAGCGTATATTCCACTTCATGTGTTTTAAAATAAATGTAATGCACGCACCTTGTTGGTTGGTTTGTCTCCCGCAATTTCAAATTAGAACCAGACAAATCCTCATCTGCTACGTAATATTACACAGATGCATACAGAAGCATACTTGGCATCTGACAGCTTCACAAATTAGTGTTATTCACTTGGTGTTCCAGCTCGTATTTGATGTGTGTGTTTGTATATATTATTTTTGGCTCTGTGGTTTCTAATTCTAAATAACGTAAATGAACTGTAAGAATGAAGGAATAAATCACAAAATTGCCCCTTACAAGTATTAAATAATGAAAATTAACATTGACACAAATAAAACAATAAAATAAACATTTTGGCTAATACAAATAAAAGCTAAACATTACATAGCAGTCATTACAATGAACTTGTTGGAAGTGGCTTCTGAATTAAATATGAACCGCCTTTGAGATTGCTTAATGCTCCAATGGATTCATTACGTTTTTCACATCCTGCAACTTTAGAGAAGACAAAAAAACAATAAAAGCAATGCCAATAATAAAGATGCACATAATCGCAAAACTATAGATATTGAAATGCAGGCGATGAGTCACAATAACGTGGCTGAAGTATGTTGACCAGACCACACACTAGAAGTTGAAGGGACGACGACGTTTCGGTCCGTCCTGGACCATTCTCAAGTCGATTGTGACTTGAATCTATATCGTCAATATAGATATTCAAATTGTTTTATGTGGCTATTTTAAGATATATAAATATATTCTGTACATCCCTGAAAGATCCAGGTGGCTCTTTTTAACTGCATAATTCTTACCTCTTTGTCGTATATTACATATGGGAAAAATGCAGTCGAGGATGATAAAATGGTAGATTTAACTCTTAACACTCATATTCATCTAATGTTTTACAACAGAAAATAACTGAAACTACTAGCCATTACATTTTATTCTAGCCAAATTTCCTGAGAGCATTATGGGAAATTAATACCGTATAGTGAATATCAACCCCATTTTTTGTAAATTCTAGAATGCTATCCTACTTTAACTCGGGCTTAATTAATGTAAAACTGGTATGCTTTAATAATGGAAAGGAAATTTGGCTACTATATATAAAACATAAGAATGTGCAAGTAATTACACGCGATATTAGTTAATATCAAATATATGCATACACATATATACATGTGTGTATATCACGAAAATAAGCACGTGATTAAAAATGTGACAATGTCAAACCACGGAGGAAAAATGAAACAGGAATTTCCTTAAGTACTTTCGTATATTAATACGTCTTCAGAAGGAGTCAAGGAGACTCCTTCTGAAGATGTATTAATATACGAAAGTACTTAAGGAAATTCCTGTTTCATTTTTCCTCCGTGGTCTGACATTGTCACATATATACATGTATGTGATATGTACATCACATATACACACACACGAAGCGACGGTGCAAGCTACACATGCGAAAGAGCAACAACACTAAAGAACTGCGAGAAGTTGAAAAGGCACACAAACATTTGTAGGAAACAGGTTTAAACATTACAAATATATGTGTACATGCCCACATGCGAGTACACACGAGTACATCGGTAGGAAATGATGTGAACTCTAGGATCACAAAGTGTCAAGAATTCAGGTCAAATCAGCAACAGAAATATGCCGAGTTACAAAGCCTATGTCTGTTGCTATACATGATAATTATTATACACGCTCTCCACATTACAGGATTATAATTTATGTATATTCTATGGGTCATTAAATAATTTTATGACAATTTTGCCTGTTTTACATTTTAAATGATAAAGAGATAAATGATTTGAAGATACTACCCAACTGAGCAGATGCGTTAGGAATCTATGTATCCAGCAAGTATATGGTTGTTAATAAAGCTATTACAGTGGTCTTATCAGTCCTCTTGACGTGGTTGATAGGTCTTAAGCCCAACATCAAACCAAACCCAATTGAGTCATATGAGCCCTTTGTTAATATTATTAACTATCCATATCTACCCTTATCTATCCATATCTCAACTATGGTATTTGTGCTTGGGGCTCTACTACCCAAAATCACTTACGTCCTCTAATTACTCAACACAAAGCTGCTATTAGGACAATATCCAACTCTGGCCCCAGACATCACTCGGTACCCCTACTCAAATCTCTGAATATGTTAGACATTAAGTCACTGCACATTCTCTCATGTGTATTATACATATATAAAACGCTAAACTATAATGCCAATCCTGATCTCAAAAGCTTCATAGAAGGTTGTAACAGAACCCATGAGCACCACACCAGAAATAAATACAGTTTTGATATTCCTAGAGTACGACTTAATCAAACTAGAAATGCTCTACAAATCAAGGGGCCCAGAATGTGGAATGACCTTCCCAACCATGTTAAAGACGGTACCTCTCTCAACCAGTTTAAGTCAAAAACGAAGCTATACCTAATAAATTCCCTGTAACCTACCTTACCCTTCTATTGTCAACCAATGTCTGTTTTTCTTTAATGAGCGCTGTTTGTCGACTTAATTGTATTTGTGCTGCTTTTTCATCTATGTTTTCATTTCTTGTTTTCATTCTACTCATTATGCTCAATTAGTATTAAGCTTGTCATTTAAGTTTATCATGCCCGAAACGCTTTGCGTAATAGTGGCTTTAGGCATTGTATGTACTAGCTCTACCTATAAGTCAACCAATCTTTGTAAAAATTTATTGTATGTATGTACCTTACCTAAATAAACATTTTATTTTATTATTTATTTATTTTTTTATACGATTTTAGCCAGTGGTCAAGAGTAAAAACTAGAGGCTATTCAACTCGCTTTCTTTCGAATTATTCAGGTCTAAACTACACAACTTTTTTCACTAATTCCTACAGTAAAACAAAATAAAACTTCGCACTAAACTACAGCTGTGACATGCATGTCCACCTAGCGACATACACAAAGAAAAACTGAACAAAATAAAAGCAGGCAAAGAACATTATTAAACACTTACCTTCACACCGCCTCACCTGCGCCTCTACAGGTACTGCAATACCTGTCTTGGTAACAATTTACAACCATTAACGTCGTGCCTACCTCTGCCACTTTGCTCAGTCTGTCTCCCAGCTTCTTATGTCCCTTACCCTCTACAGGGTTGGGAGTTGCTAGGATACCTTTAGCCTTGAGCTTCGGGCTTGGATGCAGGGTTGTCTCTTCGATTTTGGCGTCGTCAGTCGGAGGCGCCAGCGATGACCGACGTGAGCTGAACAGGTTTCCAAAAAGGTTCCTGTGTTCAACTTCGAGGGAATATTGAGAAATGTTCCTGTGTTCAACTTCGAGGGAATATTGAGAAATGTTCCTGTGTTCAACTTCGAGGGAATATTGAGGCTCGTGTTTTTCCTCCTGGCTGTGCTGCGAGCTACTGTCGTCGTCTGTGCCAGCGTCAGATGGTTCCGAGTAAGTTTTTGACGTGTTGGAAAGCGTCGGCACAATTAATGAGTGCCTGTGGAGCGGGGTTTCCAAGTTCTTTTTTAAGGTTTCCCTCAGCTCCAAGAGCACACAGTTCGGACTCTTCTTGTCCTTCTCATCAAGGAAACCCTCTGGGTTTCTGCTCAAACCAGCATCATTGTCGGTTCTGCTTACTTGACTACAGAGGTCTTCGGCGGATAGCAAACTAATATCATCAGCCCCGCTACATACCATGCCCTCTAAGAAAGCATGGTGTAAGGCCTCAGAAAGAGCAGAGTAGGTCTGAGACTTCCCCAAACCCGGGCTCTGAATTGGTAAAAAGTCCTTTTTGCTGGAGTTATACTTGTCCTCCCTAGATGTTATGACACTATTATTGTTCAATTTACACAACATGGTTAACTCTGTCCCTTCAAGACCATTTTCAACGTTAGGTGACGTAAACACCTGCAACCCATCCTGACACTCAGAGTCACTCGACACTTCAAACTTAATTTCTTCCGATTCAGAGTTAGCATCTTCCTCTCGCTCATCAGTACTAGGAGACGGAGTTCGACTCCTGAAGACTTTCCTAAGTGCTCTAGCGAGAGAGATTCCAACGGCAGGTTTCTTGTTGCGGCTGCGTGGGCTGCCACTCTCGCATTCTGAGTTAGGTGAACACTTTTTCTTGAGGCAGTTGAGTGGTTCAGTAACAGTGACATGAAGAGCGTCAAGGCGAGTCTCGCTAGCACTTAAGTGCAGCAGCGGGGCTCCATGCCCGGGGCTGTCATGGGACGGCTCCTCGGGCCCTCCTTCACTCATCCTGACGCCTCGTCCCGACCCACAACCACATCATGGATATTAACTTAATTCTCTCTCAAAATGCTGAATTACAACGGGACAAGATAAAACAAATTAATTGCGCAAACTAATACAAATTAGCACTAA